ATAACAGAAGTTTTTTTTTAGCCTATTTTATTGTTGGAAATGCAAATAGCGGTCAAATCCAATAGATCATCGGAAAAACATGGCATGGACCACGGCACTTTGTAGCGCCATTTCTTCCACTTCTTAAAGCAACACCATGTGATTTTTCCTCAGCGGTCGCCCTACAGTTTGGAAGCAGAATTGTCCATTACTGCTGTCGTAAATAATTTAGCCTTCTGCAGCCGACTGTCGCACGCGCACGCTCGCTGTTTATCCAGCACCGGCTTTGGAATCAACAATGGCAGACATCCCAACCTGCAAGAAGTCATTTCAGGGAGGTATATCTTGGTGACTGGATTGTTGACGGGGGGGGGCGGCTGGTGGCGGGTTGACTAGCTTTCGTGAGGCACACTCGCAAGGTCTCTCGCTCTCTCTCTCTCAGCCGTGCTCGCGCTATGTATGTTATGCGCGCAGTATGTTCTGTCTCGCATGCGCGCTCTAGATTCCGGCAGATCTGAACTAATTTGCGGGCATCAGGGAGACGCAGGAGACTCCCGGGAGACTTGGGATGTCTGCAATGGCCACAGACAATTTGAGGAAGTGGTGGGGGAAGTGACGTATGCCGTAAAGCAGTCGAATTTTGTAGTTCTTTTTGTGCACGGGTTCCTACCCGAAACCCGAAGTTACATAGTGCCAGTAAAACCGATACAGACCACGTCAGGCTATGGCAGACGTGTCATTTAACTTATTTTAAGTCGATGTACCATCACAAGGGTCTTGGAAATATATTATGAAGGTTGAAAAACTACATAGTGTTACTTTAAAGCCCCCCTATCATTTTATCCCTTAAAACTCACCTTTAAATCACCAAAATGGCATATTTAAAAGTTTTTTTCCTTAAAAAAAAAAAAAAAAAAAAAGCCTTAAAATAGCTTGAATGTAACTCTACACCCTTGCCTCATTTAGTATATGCGGTTCTATGAATATGCAAATTAGCCCCGCCTCCACTCACTCACACCAGCTCAGAGATCCACTCATTCATGATCACGTGTTAGCCAACTATGGTCGCAAGTTGGTCGCAAATCCCATTGAACTCTATTGGTAACGACGGAACTTGCGACCATAGTTGGCTAACAATGCTTTCAGGAAACGCACCCCAGATTGGTTAGGTAGTTTGTGATGTCAAAAACACCAGCGATTTCAAACCGCGTTGAGACTGTCTTTGGTTCACTGCAGTTTTAAAGAGAAAACACTCAGCAATGATGTTGACTTATGAATTTGCACATGGTTTGTCTTAAAGAATATTAAAAACCCCACTTAGACATAGCCTATAAACAACATTAAAGCTTGATTTTCACCACAGGGGGACTTTAATACTTTGTTTTTAATAGATTTGACAAGGATATAGCAAGTGATTGATAACATTATCGTTAATATACTTAATTTTCCTGAACATATGTACACAGGTCATAACATAAATATCTTTTAGTGGGAGATATGAGATGGGGGATCCCCCCAAATGAGGTGGCGGATCCAGATCCGGCTCAAATTAAGCACTGGCTCCGCTATCTACCGTACATGCGTGGATTTGCATTTCCTTCAGCCGGACGCTTATATGCATTTCACGTTTTGGTGCTAAAGGGCCTTTAAATTTTCCAAAAATATAACTTTTTTGTTTGTTATTTAAAAACAGACAAGCAAGCTCAGCCTTAACACAAAAGTAAAGTAACGTAAGTAATGCGATTAGTTGCTTTTTAGGGAGTAACACAATATTGTAATGGATTACTTTTAAAAGTAACTTTCCCCAACACTGCTTATCACAATCCAAATAATAAGACAGAAAATGTACGCGCAATTGCGGTAATGCAGCAAACCATGACAATTGTTCAAAATATGCCATAAAGGGAATGGTTATTTTAATTGCACCATTAAGTGGTGGGATATTTTGCTAAGAAAATGGTCAGAAGAATGGTGAATTGTTTTAAGCTAGTGCAGTAAGATTGAAGCGTTTTCAGATGTTTCAGTGTGGACGGGCAACTTTTGGAAAACACTTTAAGTCCACAAGAGTGGACAGAGAGAGTTTCACTGCTTTCAGATATATCTGGATTGATGTGGGCGCAGCAATAAAAACCCACTGCAAAAACTGCTTTTTAGAACCTTTATTTTTAAGAGTGTAACTTAATGTTCCCCCCACATTAACTTCACTCAACTTGAGATCTTCCATCTGATTGGAGTCAGATGGAAGTAAAGTGGGGGAGATCAGAACCAAGAGAACGTGATAGTGGTCCATGCAGCGCCCCCCTCCCCAAACATTCCTTTGCCCATGCACCATCCCCAAGCTGGAACGCTAAATTGGACACTGTCCTCTGGGAATACTGTGAGAATGTGAAGTCTGGTTTGTCCACAGCAAGGGAGAAATGCTTAAGTTCAGCTTTGATGTTTTTATATTTATTAATCATTGTGGAGAATGTATGGCTATTTAGAGCCAAGGTCTAATTTAAGGCCAACTGTGTCACATATGAAACCAGACAGAACTTTTGTTTTGTTTTGCGTGTGTCTTGAGTGGATCGAGGCTCTGGGAGAGTGATGACCTGTCGCCCCAAAGGAAGGGGAAAAAATGGCTTTTCCCATTTTACCATGACAAACAATGTTTGATCAAAGAATGGATATGAGATGTTGTAAGTGGAAATGTTTTGGGCCTTGGCTTGTCATCAGGCAATATATCAAATGAGGCGGGTCAAAAAAATTATTTGTTATTTTGGATGCCCTATTAAAAGAATAGTTTACCCAGGAGTCATTTACTTACCTTTGTGACGTTATGAACTTGTTTGACATTTTTTCTTCAGGGCGTGGAACACAAAAAGTGTGTTTCACATGCAATTAAAATGAACAGGAACTGAAGTTGGTTTCAAACTTCAAAAATCATCATAAAGTATCATAAGAGTATGGATCACTGAATCAGTGAGTTGTAGATATTAATGAATGAATAATTCGGACCGCTTTTGTGAACTGGATCAAATATTCATTGAAAAAGTCTGACTCCAAAGATCGTTCACAAAGACAGTGCTAACAATAATAATGACTTGAGAAAACTTGGAAGATCACAGAATCGTATGGATTACTTTTATGATACTCAAATCCCCATTATCTCTAATTTATGCCTAGCAAAAGTCAGAAAGAAAATCATAACATGTGAAGTAGCCTACACTGTAAAAAATTATATGATCAATAAGTTATGACAACTTATTTTGATGAGTTAAAGCAATTAAAACAAGCGATTTTTTACTTTTTATAAGTTATACAAGATTCAACTAATTTTTTAAGTCAGTTTAATATAATTTAAGCTGAAATGACTTAAACATCCAAGTTGATTGTACTTAAAAATGTAAGGCTTATAGCCTACTGTAAATTTACTTAATTTTTTACATTGTAAATGTGAAATTAAATGTGGTATGCTCTAGTCAAAACTTTTTTACATTAACACTAAAAATGTGCTCATAACTTATTTCAACTTCATGTCATTGGCTAAATCACTACATTTCAATGAGTAATCAAACCTGGTAGCGCGCTCTTTCACTCTCGAACATTTCGTGTAAAACACTCCTTTACACTTAAGTCAGGTGTCAGAGGTCATCATTGTGATGACTTATAAGGGGTTATGTCATTCTGCGTGACTTAACCCAGTAATTTCCCTCGTACGGTATGCCAGTGTAATGACAGACGTGAAAATAAAACCACAAACATCAGAGGATGCTCGCGCACGTGCGCGTTTCATCATCACCGTCTGATATTAGCGCGCGCGCCCTTTCCAAACAAACTCAAATTCAGAATCCAAACACACACGACGGAACGTCCTTTTGCTGCCTGGAAAAAAAAACCCCGAAGTGATGTTGAGTTCCCGCCCAGTATGAGAGGGAATGTTGAGGAAAGTCGAGCTTAGAGTTTAGGATCAGAACTCGCAGGTGAATTATTTTTCATGAATAATCTGTCAGCACTTCTATTCGGGTCAACAAAAAACAAACCTGGAAATAGTTCGGGAATCGATTCGGGAAAAGCGGATAAATTGCTTCAAGGATAAAAAATTCCACACAGGATCGTTGAGCCTACATGTTGGAAGCCTTTCCAGAAAATTGTATTTTTTTTTTAACCAGTAACCCAAGATGTAGGTGTATCTCTCAGATATAACAGGTAAGTTTGTTTCATCATTCAAAAAGTTATAGTCTTATAAAGGAAAGCTGTCTTATTGGCATTATTTTAATGTTTATACTACATTATTGATTCTATAGCATCAAATCACTACAAACTCATATAAAATGATATTTGAATAAGCAGCTTTTTGTGTACTTTTATGAAGACAGTAGCCTATAGCGACTAATATAGGCTAAGCACCAAATCACAGAACAGTTATTAACTGCCATTTCGAAAACTATTGTATGTTTTTAAAACTGTATGTTTTTGTATTTTCGTAAAACAGCGTGCTTTAATTCGGGCTAAGTGTTGCAATGCTTAAAGAATAGCCTGTATAACGACAAAAAATAAACAAACGACCACACCGAATGTTATACAAATGGTATCATTATTATTTAAGTGGAAAGTCATAACACTGAACGGTGATATTTCGGATTGGTGGTAAAATTAACTTTTAGTGTGTCTACATGGTTAACGTTAACTTAAAATTAATTCTGTGGTTAACCAAGTTTAAATTAATGTTCAATTAGGCTATACAAGAATACATAATTATTGAAAAAGTCACTAATATTAGCCTATAATATAGCCGATAGATAGATAGATAATTTATTATTAACCTTTCGCATTAGCACAGACCAGACATCGGAGAAGCTCTACAATTCCATAGGCTAAAACCACATAACCCATGTACCCTTCATACATGACTTGATAAACATATGCAAACCGGCAAAAAAGTTTTCTACAGGCATATTAAACCAAATTTTTTTCCACATCTTACTATCTGTTGTCAAGTCGGATGACGTTTTCTTTGCCCTGTTTTTGGCATTAGGTCCTACAAGAATCATGTGTGAAGTGGTGGATCCCTTTTCCAACTTTCTCACTGGAAGCTGCTCATAAACGCCATCTGCTGTTCAAAAGAGTGGAGCGAGTGTCTGGAAAATGGATATCCAGCCTGAACCTGGAATGAATGAAATCATATTTAACCACTACAACCACACGGGCAAGTGGGGAAAACCAAAAAGCGACGGTACATGCAAGACAGCCTTCCTGATTTGCATCTGTGCTCTGATTGTATTGGAGAACATCACTGTACTACTGGCGCTATGGCGCAACAAGCGTTTCCACAGCCGCATGTACTTTCTTATCGGCAACCTGGCACTTTCGGACTTGTTAGCTGGAGTTGCGTACGTGGTCAACATCTTCACCTCCGGCAGCAATACTTATTTCCTCAGTCCCGGCCAGTGGCTTCTGCGAGAGGGGAGCATGTTTGTGGCGCTTAGCGCTTCGACCTTCAGCTTGCTCGCTATCGGGATCGAGCGCTACATGACGATGGTTCGCCTGCGCCCGTGCGAGACCGCAGGACGGGGGAGGTTGCTAGCTCTCCTGGGAGCCTGCTGGGCCGTTTCGGTCCTGCTGAGCGCTTTGCCCAGCCTCGGCTGGAACTGTTTGGGCCGACTCCACACCTGCTCCACTGTCCTACCGCTGTACGACAAAAGCTACATAGCCTTCTGCATCAGTGTCTTCACGGCCCTGCTAGCGGCGATCGTGGTGCTATACGTGCGCATTTACCAGCTTGTGACGTCCAGCGGGCGTAGAGTGAGCTCCCGGCCGTCGGATCGCTCGCTCGCACTTTTACGCACCGTAGTGATAGTGCTAGGGGTTTTTGTGGCCTGTTGGGCTCCTCTTTTTCTGCTACTCCTGGTGGATGTGGGATGCAGTCCAGAGCAGTGTCCGGTTCTGTACCATGTGGACTGGTTCATCGCTCTGGCCGTGCTCAACTCCGCCCTCAACCCTCTCATCTACACGTTCTCCAGCCGCGAGATGCGGACCGCGTTCATCCGAGTGCTGTGCTGCTGCTGTTCCGAGACCCCACTGGACTCTATGCCTACGGTGGCAGGGGCGGCACTGCCGGGAATAGTTATCGCAACCGCGGAGAACAGCAAATCAAGCATGGCCGGGGCAGCCAAGTCCTCCCTGATGCGAAGTAAAGTTCCTACCCCATCAAACTCCCATCATCAGCATGGGGACACGTCTCAACCAGTCTCAGGGCCAGGTGACCTACTGTCCGCGGTGCTGGTTAAAGCTGGCGCGCTTCCCTCGTTGGGGAAGTTTTGAGACTATGGGAGTCAGCACAAAAGAGCGGGAATTTGTTATTTCCCAAGATGTTTTGGTCACGGCTCCTGTTTTGTAGTTTTTTCAGCACTCTAAGGATTACAAAACCTGGATTTGCTTTCATACAAAAGACAATGAGATTTTAAAGGTACTATCAAAGCATGATTGAACAAATGCTGACCAAAGGAAACACAAACTGAATTGACTTCTAACATGTATTAATATTTATGAAACTGAGCATGTGCTATGAGCACATAACATAGAGCCACTACAGAATGTAATCACTCGAAAAGCTTAAGTGTGCAATTTTTTCTATCAAAATAACCCAATTTGTAAAACGGTATATTAGCTTTTCATGAAGGAAAACGCCTTAACAGTATTATATATATTATTATGGTACTCTGTGTGTTTAACATATTCTCACAGTTCATTACTAGACAAAAACGTTTTGAATAGTTTGCTATTCTTACTTGTTACACAAAGTGAGTGTTTTAAAGAAGACTGTGGATGTTTACGGTTAATATTCTGTGGATCGGTTTAGATGGCAGAATGAGGTGGTTTTGTTGTGAATGTCTTGAAATTGTTTCTTTCTTTTTTTTTTTTCAATAGTACTTGCTAACTTATATAAACACGTACATTTTTTGACAGTTTCATGTATGTTAGTGTGAAAAAAACTCACTCTAATGTTAAGATTGCCTTGTAAATATTGTGTATAACCACTAGAGGGAGCTGTATTATCACATTCAAACAGACTGCGCCACAGAGCAAATAATGTGAAGGCAATGGACACACATTTTGTCTATGAATACAGTCAAGCAGTATAATTTACAGTCTTTGTCTTTGCCTGTAAAAAAACATGATCAAATGGCATCAATCTTTGAGCTATACTGCAGTAAATACTAACCATTCCAGTGCTATCTTAGATCATTAGACAACTTGCTTTAAAGGGATAGTTCACCCAAAAATTGTCATAATTTACTCACCCTCATGTTCCAAACCTCTATGAGTTTCTTTCTTCTGCTGAACACAAAAGATGATATTTTAAAGAATGTTGGTAATCAAACAGTTGACGGCAGACATAATATTATTTTTCCTACTATGGAAGTCAATGGGTGCCGTCAACTATCTGATTACCAAAATTCTTCAAAATATCTTTTTTGTGTTCAACAGAAGAAAGGAACTCATTATTCACCTTTAATTTGTTCCAAACCTGTATAAGTAATGACAGAATTGCAATTTTTATGGTGAACTATCCCTTTAAGTTCAGTCGACAGCACTTGTGGCATAATGTTGAATAGCACAATTTAATTCGACTACATTTTGAGCCAAAACCTGGGTTAAAATGAGACACTCGCAAAGGAGGCCAATCTGTAAACATTAAAATACGTATGGTTTCAATATTACTGCCACAAGACAAACAATATGCATGTTAAGAAGATTTTAGTGCGAAATAATCGCTTTTTAAACTTTTCAAATGAGGTTATATATCAGATTTGACAACTTTGTTGCCATGACAGTAAAACAAACATAACTACAAACTTTACACCTCTAATAATAAAAAGTTCAAACCGAAGAATTAATGTAAGTGCTCTTATAAAAATATAAGCTTCACATTTCGGCATTAAAACCCTCTAAAGATTGGCCCCATTCACTTATTTAAAGTCCCCCTGTGGTGAAAATCAATTTTTTTTAATGTTGTTTATACCTCTATGTGGTGTTTTTAATGTGCTTTAAGACAAACCATGTGCAAATTCATAAGTCAATAGTACCATTGCTGAGTATTTTCTCTTTAAAACTGCAGTGAACCAAAGACGGAATCAAAAACACGGTTTGAAATCGCTGGTGTTTCTGACGTCACAAACTACCTTGTAACCAATCACGTCTGTACGTGCCGGCGGGCTTTAGCATATCATTAACTATGACCACTCTGAAGCAGTGAAGTCTCAAAAGAAGCCAGCTTACCCCGGTAAATTTTTCTGTTGATATGAAAAATATTTATATATTATAATTATTATATATAATACGAGTATATTTAAGCAATATAGCGGGTGCATGATGTATATTACAATGAACTATATGCCTTTCTCCACTGACGTTCTGAGTTGTTCAAAGCATTTCTAAGGATACTGAGGCAGCGGTCTGACTCTTGAGATGGCAAACGGGAACATGGTTCATGTAACATTAGCAACACACTAAAGGCTAATCATATTAATTACCGTTATGTGTCTGACTCTTGTAAAGAGTGATACCATTGTGCAGCGTTTACCTCAGTAAGTTGGCTAAGCGAGTTAGTGGAGGTGGGGCTAATTTGCATATTCATAGATCTGCGTATACTAAATGAAGCAAGGGTGTAGAGTTACATTCTAGAGTTACAGAATTACATTTGGTGACAGAATATGAATTTTAAGGGATACAATTATTGACTAGAGGGGAACTTTAAGTGCTTCACTGTAGCCTGGATTTTTGCTGTTTTAACGAAAACTAGTGATTCATTGAAAATAGCTGTTTACTGGTCATCAAAATTATGCCACAAATGCTGTTGATTGGGCTCGACTTGTATTGAACCCGGAAATTTCCTCATTAAAGGGATAGTTCACCAAAAAATGAACATTATCCCATAATTTACTCAGCCTCAAGCCACCCTAGGTGTATATGACTTTCTTCTTTCAGCCAAACACAATCCGTTATATTAGTGACTGTTAGTTACATTAAAGTGACCTCTGACCCAGCGTATTAGAATGTAGGAGTAGTGTAAGCTTAAGTGAGTAGATGCCTCTCGCGGTTTAAACAAAAACGGCTGGGAAACAAACTCAAGACATGTCTTTTAAAAAAATATTTGTTTTGCTCTATTCTCTGCGCTTCTACGTTCGTCAATACGTCGGGTAATTCTACCAATTACTGGAAGGCAGGAATTGCTTAGACATGCTGCTTCTTGCATTGTTTGAACATCATATTGAGAACATTGCGAGAACAAGTGACATTTTGTTGAAGAATGTTTTTTACAGCATTTGACAAGTGTGACATTTCAAGTAATTTACCACCCTAAGCTGAAGACACTCTCTCTCTCTCCATCACCGTGATCTTTGCAGTCAGTTTGATGGGGAAAAAATAGAATGCTAAACAAATCAAACTCATTTACAAGAGCCAAAGCAGTTTCATGTCTGTTGGCATCTCGTAGCTGAAAACTATAAGTTATTTAGTATCACAGAATCCGTTCGTCAAGAGATTTCACACCTAACGTTTGAAGTGTCATGAACAATCAACATCAACAAACAACAATGATGGCTAAGTGTGATTCTATAATGCGTAACCTTGAGCAAAAACAAACATCAACCCACAACACACGACAATGAGCATTATGCAAACTCCTTGAAATAAGCACACGCCACATAGAGGACATTAATCCTTTAAAGTAAGGCATTACACACTTGCCACACACAATGTGCCTCTGCACCTCATGTAATGAATGGCTCTTTGCTACAATGGATCAAAGCGCGGACCACTAAGCTATTGTGAATGGCCACTATTGAGAATATTCATTTGTCTGTGTGCTTGTCAGAGCTGAGGGGAGTCTCTGTGGCTGAATACATCAGACTGGCACATTGCTTGGCTCTGCACTCAGTGTGAACAATGCCTCCATCTGGACCAGCGACTCAGGATGTGCCTAATATGTGAGAGCACTCAATTGATTTTCTCCCATTCTGGGACCAGGGGTCACATTTAACAAGCTTTCAATGGTTGACTGAGGTAGAAGGTGTTAGTGTGTACGTGTGTTGCTTAGGAAATGCGTCAGGACCAAGACCTAGAAGCCATAATAATCTCTTCATGGTTCACTTCTGGTCGAGGTTTGGAATTGGACCTCCTCATTAGCCCGTGACCAGGCTTGCTAGCCCAAGACCTGAGATTGGGATTGGTGTACAACAATCATTAGCTAGAGCCCTGGTCTTAAAGGGAAAGTTCACCCAAAAATGAAAACGGTCTCACCATTTACTCTCCCTCATGTACGTTCCAAACCCTTATGACTGATTTACTTCTGGAGAACACAAAAGATGATATTTTGAAGAACATTTTGGGTCCAAAACAAGTGCACCCCTTTCATTGTACAAACAAAGACATGGAAACATTTTTCAAAAAATATTTTGTCCTACACAGACATTCAGCTTTGGAATGACATGAGAGTGAGTAAATTGCCGTTGATCACGCCAAAACTATTGGTACCATTTGCTAGCACTTATTGGTGCAAGGCAGGATCCAGCACCCTCGCCTCAAGACCAATCCAAATTGGATATAAAAGCGAAGATAAGATGCTTCGACTAGATGCCAGACTTTGACAAGCTGTATATACAAGCCCAGTCGTCTTTTTTGACAGTACTAATGAAGGGGTGCCCAAATTATGTTAGTTATATTTACAAAATTAATAATAAAATCGACTAAATGGTGGAATTCTAAAATGCATGGTTGTTCTTCGCTGGCAGAAATAATGCAAAAAGTGTACTTTTAGCTTGCCTTTGGGGCAGTACCCCCAAAGGTACACCGTTGCAACTTATCTACCCCTAAATATAGCATATTAGTTCTTTATGAGGTAGGTAAGGTACAAAAATATATAAAAAAAAATATAATACTCCAGGAGAGTCACCTTCCTGCAGAGTTTAGCTCCAATCCTAATTAAACCCAAATGAACCAGCTTTTCAAGGTCTTCAAGTCCCCTTGAAATCCAAATGGAAGATTCTTGGCTTTTAGTATGAATATGTTATCCTTACTGTTATCTATAAGCTAGTGTGCTCCAAAACAATGACAATTCGCTTTTAGAAGACAAAGCGTTCAAAACTTCTCATCAGATTTTCTGTCCAATCAAATGCGCTCTTGAAACGAAAGCGTCCCGTCCCCCACATTATAAATAAACACTGAATCTGCGGCTAAAATCGGTCACTTTTTCACACATTTAGTATTTTCTAATGGTGAATGGCACATAGTTCACTATATAGGGCAGTGTTTCCCAACCCTGCTCCTTGAGGCACACCAACAGTGCACATTTTGGATGTCTCCCTTTTCTGACCCATATATTTCTGGTCTTGGAGTCTCTACTAATGAGCTGATGAGTTGATTCAGGTGTGATCGATTAGGAAGAGTTGGAAAATGTGTAGTGTTGGTGTGCCTCCAGGAACAGGGTTGGGAAACACTGATATAGGGGATAGGGAACAATTCGGACAGTGTAAATATACTTTCCATTGGGGCGAATGAAGTCTGGTTTCACATTAGTGTTATGTGAACCGCTTTCAGATACAGAAAATGTATCGGATCCTTTGAATTCTGCAGAGAATGCTATATTTTAAAGCGACATGGAGGAGATTAGTAGAAATTACATCAACACATTGAATAATACTGCACGTTTCAAGGCACTTCAGTGGGCCTTTCGGGATCACTATAAATGTCTAGGTAGCCGTGTTGGAGCTAAACTCTGCAAAATGGTTGCCCTCTAGGAGCAGGACTGGAAGCCTCTGAGCGAGAGACAATTATTTGCAAATTTGTCAACAGTGTTAAATATATGTATTTTTCCACCAGTGAGATCCCAAGGTGTATAACTTACTTGTGAAGCCTAGACTTTTAACCAAGTCATGCAAGAACCATTACCCCTTTGCTTTTAGGTGTAAGTTTGATGAAGTATGATTGTTTGATATGAATCTTGGCTCAGGACCAAGGATATCGAACCAAGGAGCATTCCTACTTGGCCTAATCACATCATACGTGCACCTGAATTACTATTATGAGACCTGGAAATCTGAGGATCATCTATCCTTATCCTCTGAAGTAGAGCCGAGGATACATTCAGTCCTCCCCCAGAGCCCTGTCTTTTTCAATTCATTACAATAGCCTTCAGCTGCAGCCGTATGCGAGCTGCATCTGACGGGGCTTTAGGAGATAAGCTCTCCAAGATGAGGACTTTATCTGGGCCAGCTGCCCACAAGGGCGGGAGGAGGGTTCAAAGATCAGATGTCAGTAAATTAACAGATGGTATAAGTTGCCAGTCCTCACCATAATGAAATCCAGATGACACCTTGCTTGAGCGCCGGTAACACGATAATGACGGCAGCCCCTGTGAATGCAGTTGATTTTTTTTCCACCCTTCGGTGCACATCTGGGCCCCCTTTTCACTGCTGGGCTTTTGTCTAAGCTTGCGGCTGAGAAATGCCTCTCTTTGTAAGGCCTAATTATTCCATGACTAGTAAGAGCCTAATTACCAGAGGAATTAGCGCAGCGTTCATTGTGAGGAAGACGTCGTAGGGCTTTTGAGGTATTGACACAGTAGACGAGCCCCCAGTTTCAGCTGTTTAAATTGACCGATCTCTGGTTACAGTCTAGCAGACACACCTGTCGAAAAGGCTTTCCCTCCAAGAGTGAGTGCGTGCCTGTTTGTGGAATGTCTGAGCGAGATTAATGTGTCTGTCTCGGACAATGTGATACGAGGCGCTTGAGACGCACATGTGGACATGCCTGGATATGTGTCAGAGCAGCTGGGAACAATCATTACCAGTAGCCAACACAGAAGCCACGAGCATTAGATGCCATCCGCCGTGGGATCGCGAGTTTTTGGGCTTGGTCGAGATTGGAGTGGTTTGAGTGTGAAATTATTTCTGGCTTCGTTGTGATCGCAGGTGTCTTTTTCAGTGAGCGCGAGCGCATCTGATAGATCATCATCTGCTTCCAAATATGCACATTGGTGAGGCATATCCGAAATTGTGATAGACATCTCGAAGCACACCAAAATGTTATTGCATTAAAAAGCGTCAAAATGTGCATGCAAACAACTCTTAATTTCCCCCTCGTTTTATCTCACCATCTTCCTTACTGAAGTTGTAGGGACGAGGACTGATCTGAACCTCCTTCTCCGTCCGTCACACCAGTAATCATTCTCCGCCATTTGATTTGGCAGTGTAATGAAAGCAATCCCAGAACGCTTCGCTTCGGCAGAACAGAGATAATGAGGAAGCGCACACACATGAACACGCAAACACTGCCTGATTTAGGAAGACGGCCTTCTGTGAGCAGCAATGGGAAAAGAAAAATGCTCACACTCGTGCTTAACATTCAATCTTTGCAATCTTTTTGTGCATGGCATGTGGTCCCAGGATAAAACATGCGTATAGTAACCATTAGCACATCTTTCTGTCAATCTCAACACCATTTTCTCTGTCTCTTGATAATAAACAATGTGAAGCTATAAAAATAATATGCATGGCAAGCTACAGCAATTAAATTGCCTACTGGGGCTTTCTACGATATCAATATGACTTTTCAAATTCCAATTTATTTATAAAAGAACATTAAAACAACAATGCTGACCAAATGACTATAGCTCATTCTTGGGTTTAGGGATTTGCGCAACTGCCTATCTGTGGTTACTACATGCTGGTTACTTTCTTTAAGCAATTAGACTTTTCATTATCTCTAGAAAAGACTAAATATATTACGACAAAAATTGAAGGATGGACCCAAGCCATATTTAGAGACCAGAAGATCATAGAGACAAAGGGGATGTGGCTCTTTTGGCTTAGGCCAGTATGCAACAACCTAGCAACCACTTAGAACACCCAAGCAACCGCCCAGAACTCCCCATCAATCACCCAGAAATCCCAAGCAATCGCCCAGAAATCCCTATCAACTACCCAAAACTCCCTAGCAGCCATCTAGAACAAACTAGCAACAAGGTGGTTGGTTTTGCATATGTAAAATACAAATGTAAAAACAAATATATATCTCAAACTCTCTGCAAGTGACATAAAATACAGTTTGAAGCATCAGTTATTAACTACTAGCATTCTCTTTGGAAAGTTTATTATATAACACATGGAAATAAGTTTACAAACAGGAGTTAAAGAAACACATTTTCAGCATTTTTCTGTATCGGTGACCTAATATACCAATTACAGGAACATCTCTGTGAGCGATCATGATTCAAACATCACATCAATCAATTGATCAGTTGGTTTCAGCTACTGTCCTCAACATACAAATTTGCCAACATTCACTGATCTACGACCAGCCACACGACAAAGCTGAGGTCAAACAAAGAAAGTTTTCCAAGGACTACAGCCAAACAACATTTGTGTGTGGTCTCAAGGGTCTTACTAGAACCAAAAGGCTTTACAAATTGTAAAGAGACGATAGTCATAAACGGCTGTGGAAATGTCTTTTACAGCAGCTATAAAAGAGCGGAGGCTTGTCTGCTCATCCTAAGAGGCTACTAATCGATCAATAAACATTAGCAGTGGCAAATTCACCATCCCAGTGGAGAATAACACAGACAGACGACTGAAGACAAGCAACAGGTCACGCTGCCACCAGTCCGGTACGGTTCACAGAAGGTTAATTTGGTGAGATTGAAAATAATTATTAACAAGTATGTGAAATGGCATGTGAACAGATCTAACTGTAAATGGATCTGAAGTATCTAATGTAAAGGGTTGTGTCCTCAAGCATATGCTTTTGTACAATCAAAGACATGAGGGAGCCATAAGTTGGTGTGCTGAATTTGTTGAATGTTCATTCCCAATGGCATATACCTCTGGCGTCTGTTTTCACCCATAGCGCTGCAGTGCTCTGACCAATCAGAGAGTCTGAACCAGCACAGGGAAGAGCAGGGACAAGTGTTCAGCTCCTTTGATGGGGAGTTTATGTGTGGTGTAATAGTGGATCACTTCAGGGATGGTGTCAAACGGAGGGCTGTTCTGGCCCAGGATATAGCGGCCATCTTTGCACTGGCTGAACTTCATGTGCATGAAACCTTGGCAGCTCCTGAAAAAGAACATACAAAACCACTATTATTCTAATCTTTGGGCATGTTGAGCAACAAAATAAACCTGAAAATGCTTTCAACAAAACAAACACCACTTGTACCATCGTATTATACCAATCGTTGAACCATAGCACCATATGCTTGCGTCATATGTTAAAATCCATATATTCCAATCATTTTATCATGACTTGACAGCTTTAATATAACATGATCCCTAGGTGGGGCTGTGAATCTCGTATATAGGTCACTGGTGAACAAAAGACTACCCACAATAAATAGGACAATCTGAGTCATGTATAAAGCCGGGTGCACACTGTGCGATTATGGCCACTATTTGGCCGTCTGAGACAAATTTAGCAAATCCTAAAATCTGAAGTCCTTGATCGTTAGTTCGACATGTTCACCAATAGCCGATTAATAACCGTTGCGATCCAATTTTACCTCAGATGAAATTCTGGCAGTGTTAGAAGACTTGACTCCTAGTCCTGCAGTGTGACTTCTCCTACAACGACCGTCAAATTTTATTCGTTTATCAAGACAAGCCATGACCAAAATGAACATTAGAGATTTCTTTATAGCCACCATTTAAATCCCGTGTATAATGCAGCTCACGTCACCGAACGTGTCATTGATTGATGATGCAAAACTCCAGACAAGTTTACTTCCGTGCGTCCGTTTTTAACGTGTCTTGACCTTTGTACAGTCTGACATTAATGACAACTGAGATCTTACAGTGTGACATGGCTTACAGTCGATGTTCGTACAAGTCTGACAAGCAACAATTGTAAAGGACTATTATAAATCGCACAGTGTGCACCCGGCTTAAGAATATAATAACTTCAGCACGGCCAGATGTTAACTAGACCTCCCCTTTAAGACAGTCCAAACTGCTGGATTTCTATGTATAGATACAGGAAGTGATTGGTTTGTTTGAGGCTGTCACTGTACTATACAATTCACTTTAATAAGTGTGAATAAAAACACAAGGAGGCTGAGAGTATCTTTCTCACCCTTTTAAAAATCAAGCTAGCGCTGAAGCAGCACATTAAAATTCAAGACTTAACATGTTCAAGGAGCTTGTCGTCTCCAAAAAGGTATTATCTAGGTACGTGACGAACAGAGTCAGTTATAGAAGGATCTGGGCTCAAGAAAAAGCCTGTGAATCTCAATGGCGGCTCGTTCAAAGCTCTCCATGTTGAGCTGTTGTCACTTTGATTTGGATCAGACCTCAAAGCCCGCTGGCGTACAGCATTATGACATCAGACAGCGCTGTTCATTCATTCATTCCCACAGTTGTCAGATGCTGTCGTACGAACGCGGATGGTAAAAATAAGATTTCATGTGAACAAAGTCTCAGCGTGTTGTTGACCGTGTTCTGGAGTGTTTTTGCCCATGACTTATGAAGTGTGCAGTTGTGCACTTGCACTACAAGGCGTGTGTGATTACTGAGTGTGTTCAGGTGTGTGAAAGGCCTCCCCGCTTGTGTCTGCGGCTTTCTGCGGGGTCATTCATATTCATTAATGCTGGCAGGAGCAGCTTTTGTGAACTGAAGAGCTGTTCACCTGCCTGATTACAGCTCGGGGAGAATAAAAGGAAAAGAAGAAAGAGGAGGGGAACCAGGGGCTCTGGATCAAGACAGTAATTAGAGCTGCAAGATTTGACCAGATAAGCATTATCGCTCTAGCTGATAGCCTATCGAAAAGCACATCAGTGTGCAAATGAGGCAGGGGCCGTTTTGCAGAAGGAGAAAATTAAATCAAAATAAAATTGTGAGAAAATGCTCTATTACTAGTTAGTTTAAAGCAATCAAAAATATGCTTAAAATCACTAATTTGAATCTAAAATGTGACCTTTTAATAAACAGCATGTTTTAAATTAAATTATAATATATTATATAAATGAAGGAAATAAATGTAAGGTATGCATATATAAAATACACATTTATTATAATTATATTATATTAAAGTGAATTATTATTAGTATTATATTCATATATTATATATAGCAATTTCTTTGAAGAATTTAACTTCTGAGGAGTGAAAAAAATTATTGTAGGTGAGAATGAAGAACAAAAACAACTAAGATACAGACAACTAGACACAAATGAAGCAAAACACAAGGCAATTAGCTGGAATGGGGTAATGGGGATGAGGTTTGCTCATTTCATTTAACGGTAATGGAGGGAATGGAGAAATAAAATGTGGCTGTGTTGGAGGGAGGCTGTACAGTACCTCAGAGAAAGGGAGTAGTCCAAACGACTGGTCTCGCTGTTTCGCACCAAATAACTGCACTCCTTACAGAGGGTCAGTAGAGACTCAGCCTCTGAGCGCGACAGAGAGCCGTGATACCATCTGAAGGACAACAGGATGTGATGTCAAAAACATGATGTTTACACATCAAAAGCTATCCAGTATTTAGCTGGTTTGTATTTAGTTTTGATTCTCATTTCACAGGCAAAGAGGTTAGCAAATCATAACAAAAACTATTACCATAAAGAAGTCTTAAAATGGCTCTATTATGCTATTTTAAAGGTTCCTAATTTTGTTTTGGACATCTCCTACAAAAGGTTTACATGCATCCAAGGTGAAAAAACACTTTCATTTTCCCATAATATACATTGCAGCATCACCTCTTTCTCACAGTGTCTGAAACGGTTCAATAAGTCTACTCTGTGAGCCTACTCTGCTCTGATTGGTCAGATGGCCCAGTCTGCTGTGATTGGTCTACTCTGCTCTGATTGGTCAGACGGCTCAGTCTGCTGTGATTGGTCTACTCTGCTCTGATTGGTCAGACTACTCAGTCTGCTGTGATTGGTCTACTCTGCTCTGATTGGTCAGACGGCTCAGTCTGCTGTGATTGGTCTACTCTGCTCTGATTGGTCAGATGGTCCAGTCTGCTGTGATTGGTCTACTCTGCTCTGATTGGTCAGACGGCTCAGTCTGCTGTGATTGGTCTACTCTCCTCTGATTGGTCAGATGGTCCAGTCTGTTGTGATTGGTCTACTCTGCTCTGATTGGTCAGATGGTCCAGTCTGTTGTGATTGGTCTACTCTGCTCGGTCAGATGGCTCAGTCTGCTGTGATTGGTCTACTCTGCTCTGATTGGTCAGACGGCTCAGTCTGCTGTGATTGGTCTACTCTCCTCTGATTGGTCAGATGGCCCAGTCTGTTGTGATTGGTCTGGTCTGCTCTGATTGGTCAGACGGCTCAGTCTGCTGTGATTGGTCTACTCTCCTCTGATTGGTCAGATGGTCCAGTCTGTTGTGATTGGTCTGCTCTGCTCTGATTGGTCAGATGGCTCAGTCTGCTGTGATTGGTCTACTCTCCTCTGATTGGTCAGATGGTCCAGTCTGCTGTGATTGGTCAGATGGTCAATAACTTTATTTATTGTTTTATACTTTGATCTTTCAGATTTTGCAGACTTTTAACATTCACAAACAGGTCGTTTAATTCTATAAAAAAATAAAAGAATAAAAAAAAAAACCTCAATTACCACTGCTTTTGGTGCACTACAAATGTGTGGATGTGACACCTGTAAATATTTTGAGAAGTGAGCGTGTGTGTTTGTGACAGCCGTGGCATGTCCCCCGTGAGACCACAGCTGCCGTCTTACTGAGGTTGATGTGTCTGGGGGATTTTGTATCCTGAACAGCTGACTAATTCGCAGCAATATTTTGGACGCACTTAACTGCACTTTCTAATGGAGTAACCATGCACACTGCAGTTATAAATCATATTCTCAGTCACAAAATGATAACACACTATGTTGACGTTCCCAAAGGCCTGAGAGTCACACTGTGAAACCATCATGCTAGTATCTTGAAAATGTCAAAACTGTAAATTCTGTCACCATTTACTCACCCTCAAGGCGTTCCAAACCCGTATGACATTTTATTTTGTCTGTGGAACCCAAAAGAAAATATTTTGAAAATGTCTCCCACTGGATCTCACGGTCTTTCATTGTGTGGACAAAAACGAAATATCTTCTTTCATGTTTCATAGAAGAAAGAAAGTACGTACAAGTTTGGAATGACATGAGGGTCAGCAAACCACAAGATGCATTACAGGATAGCATTCTAATTGCGGATTTTTTTTAGCTTAGCTGTCTTTTCCTCTCTCTCTATTTTTTTTCTTCAAACCTCTAATGGTTTGTGGCGAAGTGTTGGACGTACACTTGTTTCTCCAGGGGAAGGTTGGGATCCACTCTCTCCCCGATCGTGGAATGAGGATCGCTGGGCTTGCGTAGCTTCATGCTACCTGTGGTCTGCAGAGGCCTGGAACACCTCAGGCGCTCTGTAGGAGAACAGGAACGGTCCCACTCTGCACCCTCAAACTGCACTGTATGAAGGACACGGCGAGAGACACAAAAAGACTCAATTCAACATCAAACAGAAGTACAAAAGTGATTAAAGATAGTTGTTTGAAAAATGAAAACGGTAGGTTTTCTACCACTGAGTCCTAACCAGGAATGATGCAACAAACTGGCAATTGATAAAACTCTTTCATGTTAGTCTTGGTTTTATGCTTCAAAAGATGTATGTGGCGTAGTGTGAATACAACAGGATGAGCAAAAGACTTTTTAATCGGACACCTGTCATGTTGCTGGTCATAAACCAGCAACATTGGTCGTAAATCCTGTTCCATATATCAGATATTAAACAAATAAGCTTGTCGCATTATACCTGGCTAAAACGGTCAAAGAAATGGTGGATATACAGAGCGGGAGGAGTCTAAACCAAGGCAACGAGAAGTAATAAAACAGGAGGGTTGTTGGAAATTAAGGCGTCACATTTATAACGCAAACGTACCAGGGTTCAGAGCCAAACAATACAATGTGAAAAGAGACCTGCTGATCCATAGAAGGGGTTAATCGAACTGAAGTTTGGATCTGACAATCAAACCAAGTGTGAACACTAGGGATGCACAATTGATCGGTACCTTATTGGTAATCATCTGATATTTTTTTTATTAGTTTTATCAGTAGGTAGGCATTTAATTCTAAATGCTCATTTCTCGTATTTTTATATTTAGATTATCTTTGCCGTCATCGAAGGCTCACTTCACAGCTGGCAAAATGGCTTTTCATTTAAACTTGCCAGCCTATACAGTAGAAAGGTGAAAAATATTTTGAAATCGGTGCTACCTGACTAGAGAAAACAGAGAAAAAAGGCTGGCGTCTTCTCTTTTGCCAAAATAGGTAGGAAAACTTCAACACCCATAATGCACTAGGCATGTTGCTATCCAGGACCACTCCGACCAATCTGCTATGGACACGCTTGACCAGAGTCAAATACCACCTTGCTTTAGTAGGAAATACTTCTTGGCAAACTTTGTCATAATGGTGTCAACTTGGGTGCAAGAATTCAAAGAGTCGACGTTTAGTTGAGTTACTTTCAGATTCCAGTGAAGGATCCAGCGTGATCCTGGCGGACTTTTGTTAACAAATAAACGTGAATTTCTCGGTCCAGGTAACATGGAGAATGAGTAAACATTGTTCATTTACATATTCTACCGAAATTATAACGTTGTGATGTCTAAATTCACTTGTCGCATTTAAAATAATTGATTTTTTTAGTCTTAATTTTTTTTTAGACAAAATAGCTTAGAATTACAATATCGGCCATTTATTGGCTAAACAATTATCGGATTATCTGTATCGGCCAGTGTTATTTGAGTATTATTTATATAGACTACTATTATAATATTTAGTGATATTTTGAAATGGTTTTTATTTTTCAATTTTAATTTTAGCTAAGGTTTTGGTAATTTTGCTAAGTGTTTTGATCCTTTTTATTAGTTTTTGTAGTATTTTTTTAAATATATTTCCATTTAGATTTATTTATTTCAATTGTAATATTTTTAGTACATCTACTTGCACTTATTTCAGTAAATTGCCAAGGCTACATTTCTAATTTTCATTTAAGTTTAAAGTTTTTATTAATAGTTTAAGTTTACATTATAGTATCGGTGCATCCCCAGTGAAAACATGACTGGAGGACAGAACTGACCTCATGCACTCATCACATGCTACCGTGATGAGAGCAGGTCTGAGCGGGAGTGACTGAAATCAAACGGGAGGTTCCTAGCAATAAAGCGACTCAGCGAGCTCGGCAGATGCAGGACACTGGCGGGGCAGCAGTGAGGAGGAGGGGTCAAAGTTCACCTTGCTCGCCACAGACGGGCTCCTCCTCCAGCTGTCCAACCGGAGGAGGCCACGGCAGCTCGGTCAGATCTTTCATATCTATGTCGGCGCAGAGTGAGTAATGCAGACAGTGAAAGACAGAGAGAGAATGGTGAGAAACAGAGAAAAGAGACACAATCCACCGATGTCAGTGCTTATCAGGCAGAAATGCAATGTGAGAGCTGACTCAACATCTAATTACCATCTCAATCCCACAAATCTCATTAACACCACATATATACACACTCAGACAGGGGCCATTGCAACACATTTAAACTAGAGATACTCATTTCAGTCAGATTGGCTGCTTGTGAAATCCCATACTTTCACAATGTGTGCTAAATTCCAAAAAGAACTTTGACTTGATGAGGTACGTTCCATTGAGACTAAACAGTAAAAGGTCTGGTTCATAATTCATCTTATTTTTAATTAGTCTTTTTAATAAATTAGCATAGGTTAAAAAAAAATCCATATTTAAGCATCTCCATCGCAACTCGCATACTTACACGGGGCGTCTTGTAACGCATACAAGCACATCACGCTCTCAAACAGGATTACAAGATGAAGAATAGGCCAAAGGGGAGGTGTGTGACATCTTTATAAACAGACCACCATCCGACACTTCCACCCCCTTCATCGCGCCCTCTCGAAAAGAACAAGACGGGGTGATGTTTGGAAAAAGAAACAGGCGGGCCCATACGTCCCCCGCTGACTGGTGAATTATTGAAGACAGAATGTCACAGACTCTTTCACCCCGTTCCCTGTGCATTATTGATGCCTGGCGTGGTACAATGGTCCCATCTGGAGAACCAGAATCAGAGTGTGGACCCGCTAATCCTCCTTCAAACCCCCCTAACCCTGTAAATAATCCACCTAATTCCACCAATAACTCGGATGATTTCACAAATAATCCAAATCCAGTGTAATTCTTAATGAACCAACTAAAGTCAAACGTGACTACATGCATAGTAATATATACTGAATAATGATCATATATTTGAACAAAAAAAAACCCGATAAAACATATTTAATATAAAAATCAAGGAATATGCCATTAATAAATTATAAAATGACAAAAATAATTTAATATATTTGTAAGTTTATAGAGGCTACATACAAGTGTATATCTACCGATATGGTGGCCGATATATTTTGCATCCATAATATTTTTCAATACAGATTATATATAGATGTTTTATGAATTGATAAATATTATGGATGCAAGATATATCGGCCACCATATTGGTAGATATATGTTCATTTTTAACTTGATCGTTATCAGCCCGATAAGAAAATTTGCCCGATATATTAAAGCCGATAAATAATGTGTCATTTCCTTCAGCTGAGACGCTTCAGATGCACACTGTTCACCATGACGGTTTTGAATTGCGTAAAATATGAAGTGCAACATGTACAGTCCAAGTCTGTCATAGAGGCTACATAAAATGATAAAGACAACATTATTACTGTGTGCTTGGAACATGGTTTTTGAGGGTGAGACTTTTTGTAACCAGGCTCTCAAAAATTATATAAAAACTTGGATTTAGATTTATCGGCCAATATATCGGTTATCTAGCCTGATGTCGTCATACTCCGATTCTAGTCAGAATGTGAGTCTGATACTGTTCCATTGGGCTGTGATTATGGGGCGTTTCAACCGAACCAGGAAAGAAAATGCCTCTGCAGTGCACTCAATTGGATCGACAAATGCCTTGATCGCGGTTCTCTGTTCCTCTTTTAAAATGAATGCGCTGTCTAGATCTTCTATAACAGACGCGATGGCTGAATCTACACATCTAAATTCTCCAGCGGCAGCCGTTCTTTGTCGTAAACGAATTCAACCCAAGCGCTCTTTGGTGACGTGGATGATTACGTTACTGTTGATCAGCTGTCCATCATCTTATAAAGCCCGCCCTGACAATTTGATTGGCCCGAACAGCTTTGGTTCGGGCATACTTGCTTCTCAACGGATCAAGTCCAGACCGAACCTCCCATCCTCAAATGTTGTGGGCGGGGCTAAGTTCGGCTGGCATCCAGGCTATCGGTTATCAGTTTTCAGATATAAAAATGTATTATCGATATCGGCCAAAATGTTCATATCGGTGCATCCCTAACAAATATATATATATATATATATATATAGATATAGTAGTCAACATTTGAAGGGGATCAAAAAAGTTCAAAGTTGTCCTAAGACAAGAACGGGTATTGTTCAAAATTCATGTATAACTTTGACGAAAGGTTGTAATCCACTTCAAATGTTGACTACTGTATGTAAACACTCCTTCCACCTAATGGATCTATACAGACAGACTCCTCATTCTCTAGCTCTATAAGACCTACAGGTGCCCAACATCTACTCTGGTTTGAGACCTCTCTAGCCCCTTCCTGCATGACTCTAATGCTCCACATTAACTGTCCCTTCACTCCTGTGGTTCCAGCATGCCTGTCAGACCCAGTCAGACTGACAAAGGGCAGCACATCAGTGCCTGTTAGCCACGGTCCTGCAAAAAACCCACACCGAAGAGCTCCAGCCACTCGCCACAAAGGTCATCTCTGGGCTACAATACATCACGCTGGGACAGATGGCCACACCATTCGTACATCATTACTACTAAAGCACAAGGGCTATAGAGAAACGAGTCTGTGGCTAGAAATGTGCCGAGACGGCATATTACTCTAAGTGTGAGAGCCCATCTGGGATAATGAAAGCCTCATTTGAGCATCTCATAAAAAGAAACGATATTACATCACTGGAAATCTGTGATTAAGTCTCAATTTACACAACAGATGTTATTACTGAAGGTGCAAACAAACTCTTAATGCGCTTTATGCTTTGGTAGCATTTTATGTGCGCTGTTAAAACTCATCTAGAGGATTTTTTTGGTATCTGGATTCAATTAACATGTTGTGGCACCTAACATGCACAGATTTGACTGCTAATGGTAACAATTAAGGCTGGGGGACACAGCTAAATAAATCTCAACATTTTTCAGCCATTTTACAATCAATTTATATCTCAATACAGTAAATATCTATCTAGTTAAAAAATATCAAGGCATCAAAGGATACACAAATATTTAAATTAATTATGTCTGCACATTATAATACAGAATATTTTATATATGCATATTTTTTTATTTGATGTGCATGCATGCATGTATATATATACATACACACACACATGTATATAAAGTATATATTATATATTTTTTCACTTGTTTATTTCATTAACATCAGCCAATATATTACACCCACGCATATAATGTGCAATAAGTAGATAAATATGAATTAAATATTGCTGTGTATATATATATAAACCATTAACAGTGTTGATTAACATTTTACATCCTCACAAAATCATAATGAAATATTTTATTCATCACCCTGATCTAGTGATAGATCACAGAGACCGTTATAATGGCCACAATGACAAATAAAGCTAATGTGCTATTTACCTCACTTATTGTTCACGTAATTACCGGAAAACAGTGCTAAGAAAATCCCATTTCTCCCCTTTCATTACATTCATCCGTTTCAGTTCCACTGTCTGAGCTTTTTATCTTCTGTAAACCACTTACCGCCCTCTTTCCTCTCTCGCTTTCATTTTTCCTCCTAAGTGAGATGATAACCCCCCCTCCCCTACATGTATTTCTCCCTCTTCTGCCTCAGTGTATTTGCACGAGAGCGAGTTACCAGGACATGCCTTTTCATTACTGTCACAAAGAGAAAAAGAGAGAGAAATAAATTGATATAGGAGCCATTCTCGCTTCCCTCGGGCTTGCTTACAGCGGCTTGACAGACCCGGGACAAGCGAGCCACCACTTTCTCTCTCCATTTCACACACAAAAACCATGTCAGGACTTTCAGCCAGACCAAATCCTCCTCACAACTGATCCAGTTGCGCTTCGGTTTGGGCCGAAGCCCTTCCAAAAGAAGTGTGGGAGAACGTTTTTAAAGGGGACACATTCGAAAACAAGTCTATTATACATTTAAAGACTGCATGCACAATCCTTCATGATTCCTTTAACCCCAAAAGCAACCCAAGAACACAAGCCAACAAACCCTTAAATGGACAAAATGCCAGTTAAACCAGCGTTCACATCCTCTACTGGTGTGACTGGGGTGATCTAGAGTCGGCGGCGTGCCGTTGAATGCATCTGTGTGGTTGATTAGTGTGGTAATGAGTGCAGAGAGGCTTGAGGGACGTGCCGGGCGGCCGTGTGGCTTAAGTGATTGTGGTAATTGAGTGGATAGTGACAGCTTTGCAATGGCCTAATTAAGACTCACTGGACTGAGGCCAAGATTTTACTGTCATCGTCACACTTTTAACAACCGAACCGAGATGGAAAACGGAGCTGAAATGCAAATAAAACAAAGCCATCTGTTGTGAAGGTATGTCAACACACAAGCAAAGGAGTTTGGGACATGTTTTATGCGACATTGCAGTCACATTTAGTGCAATCACTCAATGTATCGCAAACAGCTGGGAAAATTGTCTTTTTTCCCCTTAGGGCCACTTATGATAGATACACATTTTTCTACTTTGCTTTTAAGGGGCTGTTTGAACGACACCGTTTTCTATTAAAAACGGAAAACTTTATATGCGTCTTGGCTGTTCAGTTACATGACAACAATGTTTTGATGGCCTGAAAACCCAAACTTTTGAAAATGGGTTTCAAAGTGCAATTTTTTTTAAACTATAGGTTTATTGTCTCCGTGTAAACACCAAAAATACGAATTTGTGAAATCGCCAACTACTGTCCTGGCATGAATACAGCGTTTTTAGTCGTTTTCGCAAATCTGTGTAAACGGGGATCATTTTGACAACGTTGTTGTCTGTACGCGAAAAACGTAAAGGACAAACGTTTCTGTTTGTAGTACATTGTCGTCATGTAAACGTACCCTAAGACTATATGCTAATGACCACTATTCTGACTGGCTAACCTTAACACTATCAAGTTGCTAAATACTCAACAGGTACTGTTGACTGAGATTGAGTTTTTGTAGCTTAGCGAGCGGCTTTGACATCATACGCAGTAGCGTGCTCATTGAAACATAACCTCGTAAGTAACACTCTTCATTGGCTACGACTCCTGGCAAGCAAAACGGCGCGATTAAAACTAGGAGTAGAGATTTTAGAGCATGTTGCTAAGCTATTAACGCAATACTCTTAGAAGCTTAAATAACACTTATATTGGGTAAAACTATCTAGTCTGTTTTTAAGCAAATAGTAGTTTTTAATTAAATAAAATTTACTTTGATCAATACATTTTAGCATATTTTTACTCTCGACTCGCCATAGTGTTTTTGTCTGAACCTTACTTGATAGGTGACTGCATAATTGAGTTTACTGATTAAATCAGTTACAGTATGGGGTGGGTTTCCGCTTAACTGGGTTGAAACAATTGTGAATTATTTCCACTGAGCTCTGGGCGATGGATTCTGGGAATGCCTTTCTTATGAGAATACAGGTGATGCTGCCTTAGAATTTGGCCATAACACTTTGGCAAATAAAACGTAATAAAATGAATGCTTCACCTTTAGTACCTAAGCATCTAAATGGCTGAGGGTTTCGAAACGGTCCAATCACAGGGCAATTCTAAAATTGAAATTGGCTGTATACGTGCTAAAGATGCTTTAATGTGTCCTTCGGTCTCTCTGTCCCCCTCAGCTCATCTCGCTCTCAGTCCAGTTGTCTTTTTTACTCCCCTCTCCCCTGAGTGTGATAATCAGCACTGCTGGAGGGGTAGATGGAGGGGGGTGGGGGTGGATCGAGATGCCCCTGAACCCCTGCGGTGGTTTATCAGCCCGAGTGTGTCAGCACTGCAGGAGGACAAACCTGTCAGAGCTGAAAGGGTGAGAGAGGGAGGGAGGTTGAAGAGAACGGAGGTGTCAGTGTGTGACTGATTGCGGCCCTCTACTCGCAAGGCTAGCCCCCTCCTCACATCACCCCCGTCTCTGCACACAAATCTCTTCACTCGCACGAAGAAACACACACAAGTGCTTTCAGCATCACTATTCTGTGGTGGAGCAGTGTCACTACTAGAAATTTCCAAAAGTACAAATACCGGACAATTAGTTGACTGGTTGGTCTTAACGAAGCTCCCCATTTCCAAAACATTGGTTGAATTTATTATCCAGTGATCTGTAAACCCGGTCGGTCGGTCGGATGGATATTTGTAATACATATGCATACACAATGTAAAATATATACTTCATTAGTATAACTTATACTATTAAATTAATTGGTAAATCAAAGTACTAAAGAGATTTAATATAATAAAGATAAAACTCAAAATTCTATTAAAAATAAACAGAATTTTAGGGCCCATTTTTTCCCACACTACAACACAGACTATAGTATAAAATGTATGACTATTATCTTTGACTAGTTGGTGTTAAGGAAGCCCTAAATAATCAGGGTCCACCAGACCCACATCATTCAGATTTATTAGGGGGAGCTCACAAGATATGCTTTCTTTTAGTTTATTAATTTCTTTCCTTTTTTATTTCTGTGCTACAAAAGCAGGCTGTCAGATCAGTAGCTACCACAAACCCCTTCCAGTCGCTTTCTCTCTCTCAGCTAAAAATACAGAATGCTTTTGCGGCAGTAACCCATTGCAGTTTGGATGTGGGTTAGTGCTGTGCTCACGCATTGCACTGCTGACCACTGCTTCTGCTATACTGAAGCTCAGACATGCTGAGAAAGGCCCTAATTAATGGGGAGAAGTGTGTATGTGTTTTGGAGGTGTGTGTGGTGAGCGAGGCGGGGGATGATTTATTCCAGTGTCACCTTGACCCCTGACGCTGAGATACAGCTCAATTAAACAGGATTGGCCCCACGGCACCGCTTTCATCTACTGCCCGTGAGTTCTGCAAAACACGCACACACACGGGGCCAGATTCACAAGATCCAATAACATCCATATGGAGCGCTTTTCGCTTCCCTCTGCCACCAAAAAACAAAAATGGTAATGGACTCAACCAAAATAAACCAAAGAACAAAATGAAAAATCAATACAATAACATTAAGAATCGATTCCTACAGGCTGGATTGGTTCTTCTGTGGTTCCTAATTGCTGTTCTAGGCATCTGTTCCCAAAACACTTTGAATCATTATCCCACGATCTATAAAACTGGCCTCAGATCGGTGGTAGAACATGAACATGAAACAGCCAGCGCAACCCGTTTGACTTCCATAACGTGACGTGTTTCCAAGTGTAAAACAATATTCAACGATTTGATCGAATTGATTTTCCTTTGCGCCTCTTTCAGGCATAGGCATCAATGAAACATACTTTCCCACTGAATCCCTCACCTAAATCTCACTATTATGTTGGATGGATCCATTGGATGCCACTGTGGAGATGTGCCGCCCACAGAATTAATGAATAAATTCTTTATTAATTTACTTTTGAAATTCATTTTAAATTTAATCAAGTACATTATATTTATTTATTTTCTATGGTTATTTTTATTAATTTATTTATTATTCATTCGAAAATTAATACAATTAATAATTAAATAGGGGCTAGAGACATGCTGGTCATATATTTAATATATATATATATATTTATTAATTTAAAAACGTCATTTTAAAATAAAACAATCCCTCACCTAAACCTAACTGTTACAAACAAATCCCCTGGACTTTATTTGTTCGTTTATTTATTAATTTAATTCATTTATAAAAAAAAAGAAAAAGAAAAAGAAACCAAATTAATACAATTGAGGATTAATAAATAGGTGGCAACAAATTTAATGATGAATTTTAATAATTTGCACATTTACTTTTAAAAGTTAAGTCAAAGTTTAATGTTTAAAGTAAACTTAAAAAAAAAAAAAGTATTAATATGCACATTTTATTTAAAAATGTCATTTAAAAGTAAATTAATTAAAAATAAAGACATAACTCACAATACGTAATAGTTTTAATGAGGAATTTTGATGACAACATTCCCCCCCCAAAAGTCAGATGCCGCATAAAATCAAGCAAGTTAAGGTACCTGCGAAAGCTTTAGAGATATGTTCCTTCTTCCACTCCCACGGTTGGTCGTATTCATCGGCGGGCCTCTCGTCGTCCTGCGGCAGCCTGCTCTCCCTGCCCTCCTCGGGCAGATCCGGCTGCCCTGGGACGCGCTCCTCGTACGGGGTGTCGTAGAGTTGGACCTCCCCTCTCCCCCAAACTCCTGCTCCACCACCGGCTCTCCTCTGCAGCTCTGCAACACCAAACAAACCTATTACAACCTCTCTTCCACATTGCTCCAAATTTCCACTTAGGAAAAGTTAGTTCTGACCCCTTAAAACAAAAACACACTGCGTTTGGTCACTTCACATGTCCATCAGATGGTCTCTTCCTGTACAAGTGGGCAATCGTGGTCAGAATAAGCTACAAAGTGGACCAGACTTTGTGTTGATGGTCCAAAGACCATTGAGAGATTAACAGTTGGGTTTGCGAGCAGGCATCTTCTAGACTGAGTTTCATTGTGACGTTCATTAAAATGGTGCGAGACAGGGCGTACTGTTAAATCAAGACACAACAATAAATCGATATGTTCCCTAGGCTTCACAGCTGGGCTCCCTCGCCTGGGCCACATTAATTATGGAAATGTCTGGTGAAGAGTGGCGGGGTATGAATCTGAAGGAGAGACAAATTGTGTTTGCACAGCTTGCTGGTTTCATAGGGGAGGGCTTAACAAAGAGAGAAAGATGTACATGTGTGTGCGCTTGTAGATCGAGTCCAATTTCAAGGACTGGGGTCTTTCTCTCATTTCCATTATCATACCTCTCAAACGGCAAGAACCAAACAACAGGATGTCTGAATAACCTTCAAGGGCTTTTCAACAAAACATAACAGTCGGTTAAAAGCCTATATGACATGAACTGCAGCTACAAAATGCTACGGCTACTACACTACTATGTGAAGTTCTTCAGGATTTTTTTTTTTTTTGTTGTCATCTCCACTTTTAGCTGAAGTTAGCTTGCTAAACTGTTGTCTTAAATCAGCAGAAGAACTTGAAGTAGGGAGGAACCAGTATTAAATTCCGGTCGATACCGATAAACTGATGACAAACAAATTCTAAACAATTTTGTCTGAATAAATTAAAAATAGATCACTAGAAACTAAAATCAAACATTTTAAATGCTACAATTGAATTTTGGGATCAGAGTTATTAAATGTTAACTAAAACCATAAAAAAACATTCATCACTTAAAATAAAATGAAACATTAATTCTAATAAAATCAAATAAAATTTAAAAGAAAACTTATATTTCAGTTAGTCGGCAAGGCAACATCTCATTTTTGAACATTTCTTTTAAACTTAAAACTATAAAAACTTTTTTTAAACAAATTAAAAGACAAAATAAACAATTACTAGAACTTTAAAAGTAAAATTAAAACAGAAAAAAACTAATTAAAAATATTAGCACTATTAATTAACAATATAAATACTTATTATATTAATAAAACTAATATAACACTGTTCAGATTCACAACATTATAATGTACTGCATGAAATGAGATTTGCTAAAGATTACATTTAACATTGTTATTAATATTGTTTACATATTAACTAAGTTGATATTAGATGACAGCAAATGTAATCTAAATGTAGTATTATTTACACTATTATAGTACTTAATATTATCAATGAGATTTCATTTTTATATTTTTATTTTAAGCTTTAGTAATTTTATTATGAATTTTTATTATTATTTAAACTTATTTTATTTCAGTTAGATGGCAAGGCAAGTTTTTAATCTAATATCATATTTATTTTTCTTCAAATAACTAAAACAATGTTTAATAGTTTTAGTTAATGATAACAACTTACATGGACCCTAATAATCCGATTGTAATCGAACGACTAGCACAGTTGTAAAAAATTAAAAAATATCCCAAAAATGATCAAATCCGATTAAAATTTCACTGGGATTGTAAGAGGTGGTTTAAACCTTTTCTAAGTGTAAACACTTGATCGGATTGAAAACCGAAAAAAGTACTGCGCATGTGCAATGAATGACGTAGAGATGGCATAATGACGCATGACACACAGAACGAGCTGTTGTAGTTGTTGAACGAAGCGTCATAACTGACACGAGTTTCATTCTAAAATTTTCCTTCCACTCATCGTCTGTGAAGTGGAGCAGGACAACGTCCCATCAGTCCTTGTTTCGGACTCTCATCCAAAGATGCCTTGTTTTAGACGCGGGAATGGGCGTTTTTACTGCTTGATAAATATAAGCAGCACAACACAACGAATAAATATTAGAATAGTATGCAAAAACAGCTGGAAACTGTATATTCATGCATGTCAAAAAAATATTCCGATTTCAAGGTTGTGACATATAAATGCGCACATCAACCCAATCACTTCATTTAGCGTTGATATAAACACTACGTACGGATTCATCAATAGGAATGAATTCCGACAAAAGGTGCCCATGTAAACGTAGCTACTGGCATGCACAATTAAATCTCCATTATAAATTTAATGAATCTCAGCTTATAAACAATATGGTACCAATATATTGAGCATCCCTTGTTCATAATGGCTGGTTTTTGTCAATTATGTCAAGCGTGAAATCAAACACACCAGACATGGAACGGACTACCAGTAAAAGAAACACTGACATGGATGTGCGCTTTAGAGAGAAAGAAAAAAGCAGGATTGAGAAGAAACCAGAGTTAAAAGAGAAAGACAAACTTTAACCTTCACACATCCTGCTTCTATTGGGCTCCTTAACCGTCTCCATAGCGACAGAGAGGCCCTGGGGGACCGACCCTGAGGTGGAGGGAGTGAGGGAGCTACGGGAGTGTGTGTTGATGTTAAGTGTTTGTGACGCGTGAGCTAGATTCCCCATACCTGAGAACTGATGGAGAATGAGAGAAGAGATTAACCTGTAGAGATGGATTGAAAATTAAATGAGGCTGCCTTGAAGGCAAGACCGATCTGAGGAGAAATTAAAGTGGATGCTGGGGTCTTACGAAGTTTACCTGAAAACCAGGGAATGCGTTTTTGCATTCCACTGCATTGCTTTTCCATTGTTTAGTTGTTTTTTATGTAGTGAGGTAAAAACATAGCCTAATCATTCGTGTATCTGACTCACAGTATTTCATTTATTATGTCTGTTGTGATGTTAAATAAAGCATTTAAAACGGAAGGGTATTTCAACATTTCAGCACAGTACACTTTCCTGTCATGTAGCATATCACATAGCCTACAGTATGAGCACTTCAATAAGCCCAAAGAATGCAGGTTAATACGTTAACATCCCGGGAGAAATCATGGATGTTAACGTTTCAAAAGAGAAAGCACGAACTGACCGAGCTTTTACATATTTACTCCACACGATGGGCATTTTGACATAATTGTGTGTGTATTCGACCATTCAAGCGCAACAAGACGTGAAAGAAAACTGAATTTAACATTAAGCATGTCCTGCTCTTTATATTTGCATTCATGCATTTCATCACTCTGAAGTGTCAATAGTGCTATATATTTCCATATCGCAATATAAACAATATAGCAAAATATCTAGTAGGGATGTCCCGATCACGGGAAATCGGGCCCGATCACGTGGTTTCAGACTCGATCGGAATCGGACGTTACCTCCCGATCAGGACTCGGATATAGGCTATGTAAATTAGGGGTGTAACGGTACATGTATTCGTAATTATTGAACCGTTTCGGTACGAGGCTTCCGGTTCGGTACGTATGATACAAACCGAACGATTCCTAGGACCATTTTTCTGCAGACAAAATCCGCGCTGGCGCGACCACCACAACGTTGCGCAACATCAAATGGCAAACGTAATGAAAGCGGAACGAAACTGCGCTACTCATTATATTGTGCTTAACGGACCATTTATCAGTTCGGACCAGCAACATCTGTGCAGCGCGAGATCAAGCGAAGAGATCCAGTGAAGAAAACATATGAATTCGCCAGTGAAGTAATAACATTGCTGCGAGATCTAATGAGAAGCATTCAAATTTCTCCGTTATTAACCGTAGATCTCTATTAGATCAAACAACGCTGACGTGGGAACCAGGAGAAACATTGGGCCGTGAATGAACATGGATTTAATGTTGCACTTCAAAACTCAAATATTATATAAATATATATTTAAATGTTATTTTTAATGCGATTACCAAAACATTATTTGTTCATCCTCAAAGATCACCCCCATTTATAAACCTGAAAGTTTCAAGATGTAGGAAAACTCAAACTTATTTAAAAATATTTTTTCTTTTAATAAATAGGAAATTTCTCTGGCATTTCTTTCTTTTTGCTGTACCGTATCGAACCGAACCGTGAATTTTGTGAACTGTTACACCCCTAATCTAATGTATATATATATATTCTCTTTTTTTTTTTTTATACTTTTTTTTTTTGTTTACATGCCTGCCGGGTATTTTAAGTTGAGGTGCTATTTGTTTTTATATATTTACTGTTGCACTAAAGTCCAAAAGTGAAGAATTTATGTTATTTATTACTTGATTGTTCAAGCTACCTCACAGAAGTGCTCTGTTGTTGAATGTTAAAATAAGGTGAATTAAATAAAAAATAAGGAATATCCTGGATCTGTTTTTTTTTCCGCTCTTCTTTATTCTTTTTTTATGTATTATATAAGTATCGGATCAGAACTCCGTATCGGTAGATACTCAAAATCAAATGACTCGGACTCGAGGGCAAAAAAAACCTGATCGGGACATCCCTAATATCTAGACATTTATACCGTGGTAATAATATCGTCATACCACCCAGCCCTACTTCCAAACTTGGTTGGCAAGATTATGATTCCTATTTCACTACAACAGCAGGCCATTTACCAATTTAGCAGACATAACAAACATTCCATGTCATAGGTATTTATGGAATATAACATGCATGTTTTTTGATTACTGAATGGATCGTTTTGCATTTGAAGGCTCACACAACGAAAGAACGTTTGACAATTTTACTAAAAATTTGATCAACAAGCTACTAAATGAAACTAAATGTTCAGAGATCTGGGGCCTCATTTATAACCGTTGCGTACGCAAAACAGGTCCTTAAAAGAGGCGCACGCGCAAAACAGGCCCTGAAAGAGGCGCACGCCACTTCCGACGCATAAGTTTTGATTTATAAAAACAAACTTGACAGGAACATTTGCGCACCCGCACGCAAACTCTGACCCATGTGTACGAACATTTTGGAGACTGAGTAGTTTGGCGACACCGATGTTGAGCTGGAGTTTAGTGGCATTTGGGTCACTTTTAGACAGAAAATTTAAAGAAAATTACACATAAAGCAAGATGATACAAATATAATTTCACTCACCAAGTCTAGGCCTACCACTTGAAGCAAACATCAATCCCTTCTTAAATATCCGCGCTAGCGAGTGCGTTGGGCCGTTTAGTGAAGCTGACTGCTGTAAAACCTTAAATCTTCATTATGAGTCCTAATCATACAGTGCATGTTTACAATAACAGTTTAAATAAATAAAAGAATGATTTAAACTATGTTTTACATCTGATATAAACATTTAGATTAAATATGCCATTCTCATTAATGGAGTTAAACACTTAAATTACATGAAATCATTACTGATTTATATTCTAATAAATAAAAAAAATATTTGTAGTGGATGCGATGCTTTTGAACACTTTTCCTGTGGCATGCTGTTTTTTTAATGTTTTAACTACATATATCGCGATAATAGAAGATTGTCTGAGAAAATATTTTCGTCCAAATAATACACAATAAGGCCTGTCTGTTTCCAGGCCTGTCTGTTTAATTTGCTTTATAAAAATATAAAGCAAATTAAAAAATATTATTTGGCCAGAGGAAACGATTGAGAAAAACATTCTCTGAAATGAATTTTATACTATTTAATTTATTTATTCAAAATAAAGGCAAGGATAGGCTACTAAATGATTTTTAGCAATGTAACGTGAGGGCAGTGTTGGGGTAGTTACTCAAAAAAGGTAATTAGTTACTAGTTACTAGTTACTTCTGTAAATTGTAATGAGATTACTTTACTAGTTACTGCGTTTGAAAAGTAACTTCACTACTTATTACTTTACTTTCCCGTTTCTTAATTTATGGACAAATATCATAGCCCTATCATCACTTAGCCTGTCTACATAGTGTTTATTGTATAAATATATACAAAATGGCATGTAAAACCATATGAAAGAACAATATCCCTGTCTGCACAAGGAAATATATCTCACTGTAAAATCCACAAACAACAGGATAAAGGAGGCTATGGTGCGGTCATTTTAAAATGGGGTCAACACACAAGTTTTAAAACACAGGCTTTGGGAAACATGAGAATAAACTCTTCTCCTGAGAACAAAACAAGCTTTTTATTCGACTCATGGCAATAAAAATAAAAAATGAAGTGGTCAATGAAAAATAATAAAATAAAGGTCACTTTTACATTTTTAATCTTAATTTAAAATGCATTTTTCTTGGCGATTCAATAGTCGGCAGGGGAAGCATTCCTCTACAATGAACCCTGCAACAAGCCTGTTCATTTTGTTTTGTGTTACCTGCTGTGCTCCAAGACTTGAGAAGAGTTTTTGTAACAGCGCGCGCGGCGCCGAATCCGAGGATGAACGACTTCAAGAAGCCGAATCTGCCCGAGCATGTAGCCTACGTCTCACCGTGACCGCACCGGCACACAGTTTGCGTGTCTAAATCAGTTGCTTATGTTTACAAAATGAGCCTACAATAGCATAATAAGCATTTTTAATAGAAAGATCCATGTTTTATAAAATGTCCACGAAACTTAATGAAATGTTTAGTGAAATTAGAAACTATTTAAGAGATCGTTGATTTAGTTCTATAGTCTACATACATGTTTTTATATCCACATTTTGTTCTAATGTCACAAGTAATAATCTCAGGGTTTACTGGATTTTACGTACACGATTCTTTTTGTAGTGTTATTGGTGGTGATGTAGCCTACTAAAATAAACATCGTCACGTGTGGACCTTTCTTCTTCTCACCGTTGATTCCTGATGGTTAAGAGGACAATTACTCGAGTCGCCCCGTCGTTTCACAGAATAGTACAATGGCGAGCGCGTCGAGTATAAACGCCTCGTCCGTTTGGGGAGGTGCGCGTGCAGTCAGCGGAGACTCGCGCTGCAGAGACCCCCTGTCTCCGTCTCCGTCTCCATTTCCCTCTCTCCTTCGCACCGGCAGCTATGTCACTCAAATCGATCTCTATGGCAACGGTGCGCACGCACCACTAGACAGAACTTTACACACAAGCAAACACGGCTTGGGTAACGCAGGAAAGCGCGTTCCTATAGTATAGTAAAGTAGTGTAGTTACCGATATTTTTAGTGTAATGCGTTACTTTACTTCGTTACCCAAAAAAGTAATATCGTTACTGTAATCCGTTACTTTGTAACTCGTTACCCCCAACACTGCGTGAGGGCACATCCGTATCTCATATTTTCATAATGTCTTCCGTTAAACATGGTATCACATGGATGAATATGCATATGCAAATTATATGCAGATGAGGGTAGTAAAACTAGGTTTTGTATGCTCCGTATATGGCTATTTCGGGATGAAGGGATTTTTGCACAGGTTCTGGCATACGCACGGTTTTAGAAGTCTGAATATTTTTTGCCGTACGCCATTTGTGGCTTTCGGGCGCACGTACACTTTTAGTAAGGATCCTATGCACAGTTTTATAAATGAGACCCCTGAACTTATTGTTTTGAGAAAAAAAAAGTATAATTTGAGAATTGAGCCAAAGTAATTGAGAAAAACTGGAATGACCGCTTTAATATATTTATCTATTAACTAATACTTCTAAATACTACATTGTGAATTAAACAAAGGTCTTTAGTTAATATCCCAAGAAGAGTTAGCATTAACAGTTGAGCCATGGGTTACCAGAGGAAATTTTGAAATAGGTTTTCAGAATAACAGTTTGAGTAAAATAAGGCCGTGTTTTGCTATACAACATTAATAACACAAAGTTACACCTCAAATGTGTATTTCTGTAGCCACTCTTTGCTTTAACATGTAGCTAACAAGTTGCTAATTAATGACTACAATTACCATAAAGATGTTAGGGATAGAGTTTACATACTTAACGAATCGGACAACCTTGCGTTTTTATCCATACGTTTTCTAATTTGACATTTTGAAATGGCGATTAGAAGCCTATTTGAAATGAACTGCAGCCACAAAATGCCAAAATATGACCTATTTACATTTGTGAGGAATATTATGCTTCCATTTTTAGCCAAAAATAACTTGCTAAACGGTTGTAATTCCAGAGGCACTGGAATTAAAATGGTCTGATACTGCTACCAATTTAGACTAAATAAACCAACTAAAACATTAAAATAAAACACTAAAAACTAAAATCAGTCATTTTAAACAGAATTTCGACATCACAATATTACAATGTACAAATGAAAAATGGATATTCATTTTGTGATTTGATAAAGATTACATTTAACAGTGTTACTAAATTATAGATTAACAATTAAATGAGCATTAGATGATGGCAAAGTAATGTAAAAATAGAGGAAATTAGCGTCACAATTAAATTGAACCTTTAAAGTATGACTTTGTCATTTACGTTAAGGCAAGTTAAGAGTTTATTTATATAGCACATTTCATACACTATGGCAATTCAAAGTGCTTTACATAGAGAGGATATAATCACAAAATAAAAGCAAGGACAATTAAAACAGTTATGGAACCAAACAAAATGTGAAAGTTTATTCAACTAATGCCAACCTCATTTTCTCAAATCAAAAAATGCTAATATAAAAACCCAAAGGAAAATCCTGAGGGAACCCATGTTGAATTAGCCTTCCTATCCAACAAATTGACATCATGACTAAATAACTCTACACAAGTTTGTTAGAATCGTCATTTCTCTGGGCTCTGCCACTACTACCATTGCATTGTGGGACTGCTTCAACTGCAAACAATATATAAAATGCTGCCTTAAGACTTGGCCAGGTATCTTAGAAATCAGGTAAATGTTAGTGGCTACATTTTGGAACGGTCTTCGCATTGGAAACTTGTCTTAAAATGTTGTCTAACTTATATCTCTCCAAACAGCAATTGCAAGGCGCAAACAACAATTTGGAAGGAATAAAACAATGAAACAGATTGCATAAACACAGAACTGTAATCTGTGAGACTCAGCAGTGAGTCACCGTCTGACGGCACTGGATGACTGACAGCGACTGAGGGACTCGCTGAGAAAGACACACTTATAACACTCATACTTCATTCTCTCCATACGACTTAAAGGGCAAACCAGACTCCCCTGGGGCATGAGGACACAGACACCAAAATAGAAACGAGAAGAAGTTTGACTGACCGGTTATCACTTTCTGAGCCTCGTAGGGCTCCATGTAGCCGTTGTTCTCAGGAGTGATTTGCCCCTGGGCGGATTCGGGACGCGGGTCCAAGCGAACATCGAATGGGTCGGAGTAGTCGGTATCGCCCATAACTGGAGCTGATGGAACCACCTGAAACGAGAAATGTCATGTGATGATCTTCACCCAGGAGAGGGAACACAAGAAATCCCTTTAATTCGGTGCAAAGAAATTGAAGATTATCTTAGTTTGCTGAGGGATGAATGAAGATAATTATTTTATACATAATTCTGCAGCCCAAAACAAAAAAAACCCCACTTCATTTACAGTCAAATAGATGTTTTTTTTTCCACTACTATTTGTGAGCACCAAAATTTTTCACCCTAAAATTTCAAATAAATTCCCTAAAGTTATGTGACGCAACAATACGAACAGTGCCACGCAGATCAGTCGTCTTAAAGGGGTCATATAATGCCATTTTTGTACAAGCTAATATGATTCTTTAGGGTCTAAATTAAAAGTTTGTAATATACTTTAATTAAAAATTCTCATTAGTATTGTAAGAAAACACTTATTTTACCTGGTCAAAAACAGCTCTGTTTTCAGCACGCCGTTTCAGTGCATATGACTTTAAATGATCATGAGCTTTGCTGACTCTGCCTCTCTGTTCTGTGCGTACACGTTTGTAACACAATACCATAACGTGTTGTTCATTATAAACGTGGGATTATGAATTATATGGAGAACGTCGTACATAGAAAACATGCAGTAATGTACCCTGAGTGTAAACCTTAGACTCATTCATCGTGAAGCGATTTGCAAAGATATAAATATTAATATAAAGTTTAATAAAACGTTCCACTCACTTCAGTTGTTCTAGAGGTTCGGCAGGAACACGAATAGCTGGTACCGATTCTTTATTCAGGAGCAGCTGCTTAGCAAAACCAGCTTTATACTGATCCTCGTTTATAAAGCAGTCTGCTGAGAAATGATTCGCGCAAACATGAAAGCATTGACGTTGCTCGTGGGGAATATTCCCTTCGAAAACAAACACAGCCACTGCGTCTTCAGCGGTTCGGATTTAGGAACATTAAAATGACTGCTGTGTTCGTTATTACACCCAAGAACAGAACACCACAATCGCTTAGACGCCATTCTGCTCATAGACAGTGCTCCAGCATATCAACAATGACCGCGCCGATCCGCGCAGACTATGATTGACAGCTCTCACGAGCGAGGGCGGGTCTGTGTTGAGACGCTCCTGTCAATCAACAATCGCGGGAGGGGCGTCCGACCGTGTGACGTCACAAGGTCGAACGGCTCGATTTGAGGCAGGGGAAAACATATAAGGAGATTAAAACAAAACCACTGGATGGATTTTTATCATTATATGATGGTTGTGTACAGGCACTGCCAACACACATTTCAGTACAATCAACTTGAAAAAGTGCATGTACCATTATTTAACCCCTTTAACCGACTCCCTATAAGCAGCCAACGAAAGTCGCTAAATACTGGCTAATTGTTTGTATGTAAACATATTTGGTCATGTGACAATTTCTGAACGATGCATTTTTGCAGCTTAGTGTATTCTAGGGCTGTAAAATTAATCGAAAAATAAAACAGAAACTGTGATATGGCTTAGTGCGATTATCAAAATGTTAAAAAAAATTGCTATTTAATTAAATATATGCGCTGTATTGTTTCAAGTGAAGTGCAGCAACACGTTTATTTACACACAGAGTTTGTGTCACGGAAAACTTAAAATGTCCCAACCATATTCCCACACTTGTAATTAGAAATGCTTATAAACTGCCTGTCGTCATCAAAAGAGAAGCTTTAAAAGGCAAGTAAGGGATTTCTGAGAAACACTGTTGAGAGTGGATCGGACCGTGCAGCACAACACACTTGTAGCCAATCAGCAGTACGGGAAGTGTCCACTCATGATGGGGGATGAAAAAGAAGAAGATTTGAAGAAAGACTAGAGAGAGACATTACAAAAGAGAAAAAGGTCAGAGGAATATCCCTGGAAAAAGCTTTAGGACCAGCGTTCATTTTAGAAAAGCTTTCCAGAGCTGGAGAGACCCAAGTGGGAAGGCCTGAAAATGGACGCTGAGGTTGCGATGTTTCATACACGAGTAACAATAGTTTTGCTATGTTTCACAGAAGCAAGATATGCTGTTGTTGTGATGTTAGCTATGGTAACAGAACAGTTGTGAGTGTCATTGTTTGTCTTTAGCTGCTGTGCTGCTAGCGACTAACAATAAAATCGTGCTTGTGTACTGTATGTTAATTGTATTGTTTTCCTTGTCGTTCGTCATATTAGTTTTATTTTTTACAAAGCATTATTTTGCTTCGCTTCAGCTATGATACAGAGAAAATCCACTCTTGCATTGCGAGTTTGTGCATTTTAGGGGCGGAGCAATGAAGCGAGGGGTGTGTTTGTTTAGCCCCGTACACACCGGGACGAATATCGGCGCTCGTTATTCGTCAGCGTTTTTCAACACGTTTTTTGTGTTCACACCCAAGCAATTTTCGCTGACGATGAGCCGAGTGAACATGCAAATTCATTCCCTAACATTAGATGGCGGCATGGCGCTTAATGTAAAACAGAAATAGTCCTATTTTGTAGTCGCTGTCGCGTTTGTCATATAGTTCTTTATGTTCCGACACCAACGAGACCAGCAGCTCTACATTCATCTTGTCTCGCATCTTCCTCGTCTCATTTCTTCCCGGCAGTGTAGACCATAGATATCCATAATAAAGGCCATTGGCCAGCAGCGCGGACGAGACATCTAGCCTTTATTATGGATATCTATGGTAGACGCTACTTGGCGCATCTTCTTCGCCGTTACGTATGTGTGCTCGGCAAGACCGTTTTGTGTTTGAGCGCCCCCAAGTTTTGTTTTACTGTAACTTCAGAAGCTCCAGACACGTGAGCAAAAGCGCCAGACACGTGAGCAAAAGCGCCAATCTCATTGGTCGGATAGTTTTTGACGCGGCGCGTCAAACCAAAAAAACTAACCCGAGGCGGTTTTTAAAAAAATGACGCTTTTACGCGTGGCGTTTTTCGTGTCGGTGTGCACACTCACATTGGCGCCCTTTGTTTAGTCACGAGGCGTTAAACGTCGGCGAATATCGCGCGCGAAATTCGTCCCGGTGTGAACAGGCCTTCAGGGTTGATTTCAAATATCAACCGTGTTTCTCAGAAATCGCTTACTGCACCTTTAAAGGTCCCTTTAAGGAGTCATATTGATATATAAATCACAAATATTTAGGACAAATTGTTCAGCTATACAAAACAAGCACAGTAAACCTGTAACGTTTATTTACCAAAAAAAAAAGCAGCAATATTTATCCAGAAAATTAGATTTTTTTCCACAAACAAAGCAGCCATTGTGTCTCCACATACTTTCAAACCATGTACATCCAGAAACAGCACCTCATAAAGCGCGAGACGCTGAAAACCAGCAGAAATGTGCTACCTTCCCCCGTGAAGCAGAAGGATGCCGAGGGGAAGTGTTGATGAGCATGTTAGGAGGTGCGTTTGTCTCCCAACCCAGGCTCGGGAGGAAGCCCTCAGTCAGTTGGCACTGGGTCAATTACAAAGATGGCCATATGGTCTCTCAAAAAAGGACTTTAGCCAACGGCTCCATGCGGCACCATTCAGGCTGCATACTATGGCGTGCAACAATCCCCCGATTTCCCACCAGGCAAATCGCCCATTGTCTGGATGATCTTTAACAAGAATAGGAGGACAGTAAATCTGAAATGTTCATTAGGAACGCTATAAAAACTTAATTAGGATTACGGTGGAAATTAATGAAGGTTAACAGGGAATGATGCGAAACGATGCTTGCAAGACAATGCACTTAGAGGGTCGCCATTAAATTGGGATTTAAATCGATGGCACGGCATTGGCAGGGTCGTTCCTCAAGACCAACCAATCAGCTCGCTCATCACTGGTACTGATTACAATCAATGAGACTCCACTGAAGGCTGCTGTCTGTCCGTGTGTGTCTGTGTCTATGTGTGTGTGTGTGTGTGTGTGTGCGTGTGTGCATTTACCTCAACTGTCTGCCAGTATTGGGTCTCTCAATGTCTGATCACAGGAAGAACCTTTATGGCTCTTATGTGTATTCTCTATGGGACTGCCCCATCCCTACCAGCCTAACTAAACTATGTATTATTCAAGAGCTTCAGCTTTGGTGGATCAAGGGGTTTTGACACCTACGGTGCTCCGAGACACTTAATCTAATGCAGGGTTAACAGAGGGTTTACATGAAAGATTGTTTCACACCGCAAATCACTTGTTTGACAGTTTGCTTTATGTATTTCATGACCTGATGGCTTCAGGTGTCCCTAAAACCCCTCAGATCTTCGACTACTTAACGTTTTGAAACACGGTAAATTGTGCATATTGAGTTTAAGTATAAATAATTTAATATACAAGTTAAAAATATTTTCACAAACGCTGTAAAATGTATTTTTAGTTGTAAATAAAACTAATTAAATGGAGGACGTTTTACATGAAAACACTATTTCAGTCTTTCAACTTCAAAATTACACATTTAATTCAATGCGTCACTTGCCATTTGTTTGTAATTATTTGTGAAATTTACTAGCAAAAATTATGATTGTCTTTAAGTTGCTTAAAACACACCCCATATCCCATTGGATGGTCAAATAGATAGCCCCGCCTCCAGACACACACATTGGTTAAGCCAATGTTCTTGTGTTGGGCTGGTTGGTTGTTTAAACTACAAAAAAATATATATATTATGAACTTTAAATGAACATTCTACATATTATTCATGGCAAAAAATGTATTCCAAAATATTTGAAAACAGGAAATTTACATTGAGATGTTCAGACTTCTGTTAATCGTCCAATGCAGATCATCTCAAAACAGACAAAAAATAACTGATTACTAATATTTATATTTAAATTACTCACCGGATCTGTTGCTTCCTCTAAAGACACAGAGCTCAGGAGAATCTTGCTCCGTCCCAGGTCTTGCGAGTCCACCTTTATGAGGCGATGTTTCGGCGAAACGACCTTGATATCCAGACTTGAGGATTTCAAAGGGGACCCGAAGCCCATGTGGGGCACTTCAGTTGGCCCATTGTCATTTCTAGCCCTGTTCTCAAAGTCTTCATAAGGGTCTTCAAAGTCTAGGTTCTTCTGTGCACGATACGCCTTCAATATCTCACTCTCTGTGTAGTCCGGTTTCGGCGGTTGCGGGGGAACACGTTTGCTCCCAAAACTTAAATAGTCCTTTAACCACTTTGCCATTCTAATCTGTTTGTGAATGTCCAACAGTGAAGGACATAAAGAGTAAGTGTCCAATGATGACCTATAATCTGAGGTCAAGGAACTAGATTATGGATAAAATTAGATGTGTATCCTGAAATTAAGATGAATACCTTTGGGAGAATACACTGAATTCATGTTTCAGTTCAAAGGCATGGCTGTGGTCCAAGGTCAATCCCTGGGAATACCGACCTGGAATTACAGGTGGTCCATGGACGGCAATGGTCTTGAGGTTCTCAACACCTCTGGAACAGCAGAAATACACATTCAGGAATGACATAAATGCATGCAAAAGAAAAGAAAAATAATAATAAATGTAACTAAATATCCATTTAAAGTATTTTTTTTTTCATGATACATGCATGTATAGTCTTCTGATCAATAATATGTCCTGCTACTACAGACCAGACCAGATAGATAGATAGATAGATAGATAGATAGATAGATAGATAGATAGATAGATAGATAGATAGATAGATAGATAGATAGATAGATAGATAGATAGATAGATAGATAGATAGATAGATAGATAGATAGATAGATAATAAAACTGCATGGACGAAGAGCAGCTGCAACAAGCGGTTTAAGAACAAAAGCAAACAAACTGATTTCGCACGTGCTTGTGATGCGCACAATAAACCATCTCAGTTCAACCACCAGAAGAAATTAGTTCACATACCCTCAACATTGACATTCACTTTCGAGTAAAAAATTTAATTGAGCAACTCTCTATGATAACAGCTGAGAACTCTTGTAAACTAAACATGAACGCGCGTCTGCGATCAACAGTCGCACTTTTATTCTACGTTAAACATTTTACAGCTGACATGGTGAACACTTAATCCAATATATCACTGTATGTGATTTTAGATTCAAATTAAACGCCGCCGAAGAGACCAAGTTGTGATACTCACGTTTTTGATAGCAATGTTAAATTATCGTGGAACTCCAGACGCGGTTCCCGCGTTCCGAATGTTACAATGTTGCACGAGGACAACAACACACGCGGCAATAATGTGATGAAGAACGTGCTCGCTCCTGGAGAATATATGAGAAGAATACGAGAAGAACTGTAAAGCTCGTCTGAACGCGTCTGGTTGTAAGTGAGTGAGAGAGGGAGAGCAACTGAGCGAGAGAGCTGTGGCGTTTAAAGGGGAGGTCCTCGCATCCAGAGGTGCTGTATTTTCCCTTTAGCCGATTATTATTAGAAGCTGTGATGACATAGATCTGAAAATCTGCTTTTTATAGGTGTCTTGCGTTGTCACTGTTTAAGATTTAAGACTGTTAACGGCAATCAATACATAAATAAACAAAACCCCACACTTTTTATTCCATCGAATATTTCTCTGAATGGATTTATATTAAACAGACAGTTCTATTTGGTCACATACCTTAAAGTCTTGACTGGAAAAAACTCTTTTACACTATGATAAAAGACACGGCTTTTATGGAACACATTGTCACACTAAATGGGGTAAGTTGTCACAATATAACCCAACATTAAATGGTCAGATTTAGGCTTATCAGCAAAATTAAAAAATAAATAAATAATGAAATTGATGTAATTGGACTTTTGGCTCATGTAACTTTACTGAGATATAGTTCAGGTGTGACTAGCCCCGGTCTCCCTAAAGCTGCAACTATTTTCAAAATCTATTGTCTGCATCTGTTGATTATTTGTTTAATTCATTAGATAAAGAGTCAGACAGATACTATAAATAGATAGATAGATAGATGGATAGATAGATAGATAGATAGATAGATAGATAGATAGATAGATAGATAGATAGATAGATAGATAGATAGATAGGTAGATAGGTACCTACTTTTCTAAATAGGTAGATAGATAGATAGATAGATAGATAGATAGATAGATAGATAGATAGATAGATAGATAGATAGATAGATAGATAGATAGATAGATAGATAGATTAAAGGGACAAACACCTCCTCAAAGAAGCTTTCACACCTGTGAACCTCTATGACAGGATCTGACAGGCTCACCAAAGTGTTAATGATGTGAAGGTGTGTGTAAGTGATTTGCACACCAGAATCCTCTCTCAGTTACACATTTGCAGACTGAGCATGGAGGTAGAAAGACATCAAACTGAGGCCCAGGGCTAATCATTTAAACACAACAAATAACAAACACACATCTGTGCTGCTAGCTTGATGTTGCAGATGTCTTAATGTCATTCAGATGCAAATTGAATTAAAAGAAGAAGCAGATGACATTGTCAGCATATATACTTTCCATGCCGTTCAAATGTGAACCTGGAAGCCTCACTATATAAAGACGCTGTTTTTACGACAGCCATGATCTCACTCTCTCTTCCTCCCCACATGGAGCGAGGGATGAGGTCATAGCAGACGGCATCCACCACCCCCTCCATTACCAGCCAGTGTCGACACACATCTTCCCCTCACTTTTCTAAATTGCCCCTTTCAAATGGGGACATGTTAGAGAGAAGGGCCTCCTGGGACAAAGAAAACGCCAGTACAGAGAGGGAAATTGCCCTTTTTTAAAGAGAGACCGAAGGGAAAAGGAAAAAGGTTAATATATGGTTTGAATATTATACATGCATAGATTTGCATTTTTGCCTTAGGTATACCAGTAAATGTTCTTAAACTGTTTGTAGGATTTTATGTATAGAAAAAAAAACAAATAAATAAAAAATACCTTTACATAGACAATATGTGCTGCTTTCTAATGGAATATAAGAAGTAATGTAAAAAAATAAAACAATATAATAAATCACAAAATATTTAATTAATTTTGCTGTACTAGTTTTATTTATTTTATATTTATTTGTTTATTCCACATTATATACATATAATTTATACTATAATATAATAGTTTTTATACGTATTTATATTATAATATAAAATATATTGTACATATACTATACATATATATATATATGTCGTATTTTATTGCATTGTAAAAATGTTTGATACAATATGAACATATTATCATCAGTATTTATCGCCCCCAAGTGGTGATTCATATGTATCGCCTCATCTGAATGTCCACGTGCTCCTCAGCCATTTGGAGAATTTTGTTTTGTTTTTTTAAGACATACATCTTACAGTACTCACATAGCTGATTTTAATTTAACTATATAAACAATAATATAATACATGAGTTGATAAATAAAACATAAGGCTCACCGGCTAAAGAAAATAATCATATTTGCTTCAAATTAGTATTCCCAGTGCAATATTTAAGAAACGTCATGTGATACATGCATTCTAAGCACTGATTGGCTATAGGATTTTAACCTTTAGACGATTGGCTTTAGGTATTTTTTTTATATTTTATTTCATATAGCCAGCACATATAGGCTACTTACATATATTTCACATTTTCATTTTTCTTATGTTATTCTTATTAAATTCAGCAATTTAACACTGCTTTGTATCAAAAAAGAGACGCGCATCGGTGAATCGCACATGACACCTGAAGTTTGAAACATGCGGTGCGCGGAACTGTCAATCAAGACTCTACTGCCCGCCCCTCGTCGCTGATTGGTCGGATTTCGTGCCCAGTCTGCCAAATCCAACAGGCGTGTATTCTGCAAATGACGTCAGGGCATCCCACCACAGGACAGATCTCATACTGCAGACCTTAGGAAAGCAAAAGAATAACATCAGACACTGAAGGTAAGTCATTGTGCATTTATCTTGCACATTTATCTTTTATTTACTGCCTACTCTATAAAGCTTCTCTCTTTATTTATATGCTTCCTAGAGTTGAGTCTTCTTCAAACATGTGGTTAGAGCAAGAGCGATAATTCAAAAAATAAATAATGATACAAAATAAACTACGACGCAAAATTTCTATCGATTCGATGTAAGACTTACTGAACATATTACAGAATTATTTTATTCACATTAGGCCTACATAATACTTTTCACAAGCACGTGTGTGTAAAACAGTAGACTATTTTAATTTTCTAATAAAAATATTTGTTGTTTTGTTCATTACAGCTCATGAACTACTTTAGAACAAGATGAAAACCTTAAAAGCAAAGTTCAAGAAGACAGAGGTAAGAGCCTGTCACGTACTAAGTATGCTAGATTTCTTATGTTTGACCATTAATCCGAGCCATTATGTCTGCGAAACTGTTTTATATACTGTTAGCTAAGCTGTTAAATCTCTTGAGTATCTTTGGAGACTTGTTGCTTTGTATCGGTAAATGTGTTTTACCATTAGAGGAGCAGGCCAGCCTGCAGACGGCACCTGTAACCAGAGACCTCGATAGTGTTCAATTATTGAAACAAATTCATACACACTCACTCACAGACTGAGTATATACTGCGGTCTTCGTTGTTTTGAGTGTTCATTTAGCATTGGAAGCTTTTATGGCTCTTCATCTTCTTTAATATTCATAAAACATTATGTTATTGGATGTAATCCCACTGTGTAAAGACGAAATGTGTGTGTGTTTTCCCCCTGCTGAGGTGGTGTATCAGATTTGAAGTTGTGTTGGGATGAACAGATAGATGACCCGCTGTAGGGGAGAGAAAGTGAGCTGCTTGTTTTCTCTTTGTTTTAATATTATCTTTCATTCGAGCCTCATGTCTGGGTCAGATGTCCACAGGGAAACCGTCTCTGCTGCTTCTGCTGCTGGGGTCATAAAGTCAATGATGGAAAGATAATATATCAGAGTGTGTTAAAGTTATATTTCTCTGGATGGTTGGCTCTTATTAAACACCTTTACTCAATAATAATAATTATATATATATATATATATTGCATTGATATACACACTCACCTAAAGGATTATTAGGAACACCTGTTCAATTTCTCATTAATGCAATTATCTAATCAACCAATCACATGGCAGTTGCTTCAATGCATTTAGGGGTGTGGTCCTGGTCAAGACAATCTCCTGAACTCCAAACTGAATGTCAGAATGGGAAAGAGTATTTCTGTTGAGACATTCAGATGGTAGAGTCAGAATTTGGCGTAAACAGAATGAGAACATGGATCCATCATGCCTTGTTACCACTGTGCAGGCTGGTGGTGGTGGTGTAATGGTGTGGGGGATGGTTTCTTGGCACACTTTAGGCCCCTTAGTGCCAATTGGGCATCGTTTAAATGCCACGGCCTACCTGAGCATTGTTTCTGACCATGTATGGCCACCATGTACCCATCCTCTGATGGCTACTTCCAGCAGGATAATGCACCATGTCACAAAGCTCGAATCATTTCAAATTGGTTTCTTGAACATGACAATGAGTTCACTTTACTAAAATGGCACCACAGTCACCAGATCTCAACCCAATAGAGCATCTTTGGGATGTGGTGGAACGGGAGCTTCGTGCCCTGGATGTGCATCCCACAAATCTCCATCAACTGCAAGATGCTATCCTATCAATATGGGCCAACATTTCTAAAGAATGCTTTCAGCACTTGTTGAATCAATGCCATGTAGAATTAAGGCAGTTCTGAAGGCGAAAGGGGGTCAAACACAGTATTAGTATGGTGTTCCTAATAATCCTTTAGGTGAGTGTATATACAGTATATAAATTATGAACAAAAATTATATATATATATATATATATACACAGTGCTTAGCATAAGTGAACACACCCATGCTAAAGTTGACTAAAAAGAGGAATAAAAAAAATCATCTTTTGGAAATTGATCTTAATGCCTTAAATAAAAAAATGAGGAAAAATCCCACCTTTAAGGACCCCAATTTTCTTTGTAAAAGGAAATAATGTTTCGTAAATAAATAAATGTTCTTCCTTAAAATACAGGGTGCATAAGTCAGGACACCCCTATGTTAAATTCCCATAGAGGCAGGCAGGTTTTTTTAGTTTTTTTTTTAAAGGCCAGTTATTTCATGCATCCCGATAAAGTTCCCTTGGCCTTTGGAACTAAAATAGCCCCACATCATCACATACCCTTCATCATACCTGGAGATTGGCACGGTTTTATTTCAGTTAGCCTAATAGCTGGTTTGATTTGCATTGAGAGATGATCTTATGGAAAGTACCCCATGCCAATCTCTAGGTATGGTCAAAAATATTGCCATACCTAAAATATTGCTACACCTTTGTGTGAAAAACTAAATTATTGCTACACCTTTGTGTGAAAAAGATGAGTCAT